ACCAATTTTGAATAGAATCTGACCATAATTACAAAACTCGTCCGCCATATTGGATCCGCCATTTCGAATTTTCTAATTTTGATAAAAAATCATAATCCCTGACCTCGAAAACCACCAGATAACAATTTTGAATGATATCTGACCAATCTGTTCTGTTCAGCACCAAAACATACGCTGACGCTCTTAGATTCCATCCAGAGAAGGGCCATTCGCCTGGTTGGTGACGCCACACTCACTCACTCCTTGACATCATTGGAACACCGTAGAAAGGTCGGCGACCTTTCACTTTTCTATCGATACTTCCACGGGAAATGGCTATCATCCCTCCACTAGCAATACCAGACGAAGTAGACAAGCCCAGTCAGCACATCCTCTCGTTGTCAACCTCGAAAGATGTCGAACAGCACTTTATCAAAACTCCTTCATCCATAGAACGGCTAGGCTCTGGAATTCAGTGCCCGAGGAAGTATTCCCAACAACATATAATCTCCAGAAGTTCAAAAAAAAACTCCAATACCTACCTCCTGTCCCTATCCTCCCTAGGAACGCACGATGATCTTCGAACATTATAGGGATTTCCTTTCGTGCGGTCCAAGCGATAAAAAAAATAATTACAAAACTCGTCCGCCATATTGGATCCGCCATCTTGAATTTCCAAAATTTGACGAAATATTCATAATCTCCGACCCCGAAAACCCCTGAGTACCAATTTTGAATGAAATCGGATAACTATACTCGGTCGGCATATTGGATCCGCCATTTTGTATTTTCTATTTAAAAAATAGATTACGACCGATTCTCATACCTACCGAATACGCACAAAAAATTTCATACGAATCGATCGAGCCGTTTCGGAGGAGTTCGACCACTATGACCGTGACCGTGACAGGAGAATTTTTTATATTAGATTTGTTCGTCTTACAAACACTCGGAGAACCTCCCGTTGAAATATGCCCAGATAATTGAATAATACCCTCTGTATTATCACGTCGCCTAGATTTCATAATATGTCCGAGTAATATGTATAACATTGGCAACGGTGTAAACGGGTTTGAATTCATCATCTCTCCTAAGCGCCATCTGCTTGCAATACAATGCACCATTCCTCTCTGCCGCAGTCTGTCATTTCGAACACTGCCATCTATCAGGTAGTGCCTGAACTACCACATCCTAGTTTCCTGCATTATATTCTTTCAAGAAATGGAGTTTACCGAGATCAGCTGGGATGAATGGATATTTTGTTGACAGAATAATCGTTTTTGTTGCTTCCTGTCCGAATGGAAACATTTCAAGAGCTGATATTCCAGTGACACCTTGCCGAATTTCCAACAATTGTACTGAGATCAAAAATATTTCAATTTGAGACAAAAAAATTTCAATGTTTACGTTTTTCAAAAATCTTTATCTTCTATAAATAAATGAGTTTCGACTCCGTATGATAACCAGGCCCTAGCCCCAACCTTCTTCTTTACGATGATTTAATCAGTTTTTCAATTGAATCATTCATAAGCCCATATAGCAACATCTAGTGAAGGCCTGCATGTCGATTTGGTTGAATCTCTCCTCTTAATAAACTGTCCCACTGGTCTAGGGACACACTATATCTGGGTAGCGATCTAAAAAACTCGCGCAATTTATTGTACCGTCAATCTGCCAATATGTTTTCTAGATATACAAGAATCAAATCAAATTTTATATGGATAAAAAGTTATCTAGCTGAAGTATAATCCATGTATATTATTTCCCTTCGAAAAAATCGAACTGTTGTAGCACCTTCGCTGCAAGGGCAAGGACTATTACCCTTACCCCTACAAGTTTCACCCCTCGATTAATCAAGGTCGCTTGTGCGCAAATTCCGAATTGTTCCCCTTCTTTGATTGTGTCGGTGTTGGGTTGCATGCGCCGTGAAGAACCCTTTACAAGATGAAAGACAACAAGATTATGAAGGCAAAAAGGCGATTCGATTTGTGAAGTGCTATCTCCGACGATATATTCACATTCACATCAAATATGGTAAGAAATTTTGTGATTTACGATTGAGAATCTGGTCGAAATCATTTTAAAGACAGCTGCTTATCAATAATTCTACTATTATTTCATTTCATCATTTGTTGTGGCTCTATCTAGATTAGGTGAAACCAAGAATGAACAAATAATATTAGGGTTTTTATTGTGAGTGTATAGCTTAGTTGATATACTGATTATATTTTGTAGTGTTAGTATAGTTATTAGTCAAATATTGGCAATACGAAATATTATAGGTTTTACAGAGTGTGAATGAATGAGCGTCGAACAATAATGCAGAGGGTGATTCGTCATATTTTATTCACATAAAAATGTTGATTCATAAAAACATTTGTTCGAACTTGCTTCGTTTTCGAAAAACAGTTTGTCAGGTTTCAATAAAAAATTGTTTTTTCAATTGAGTAGCATATAGTCTCTTTTGTAATTTCAATTAAACTTGGTGGTATATCTCATTCTCCATATCCCGAAAAATAATTAAAAGATATTGAAAAATTCAAAACAAAATCTTTATTCTAATGCTATATTTTATATTCTTTTTCGAATGATGTTTTTTGTCCTACTAGCCTGCGGAAAAGTCAACTTTTCCGCACTCACTTTATGTTTTATGTTGAGGGAGTCACTCTTATTACAGGACAACTTTTTCAATTATTTTTCATTCTTTAGATCCACCCAGAATTACTCCATTGTTTGGAAATGAAATATTTTGGAATTCAGAAAAAATCACTCGGTCAAGATAGAAATGGATAAGTTACTACATTTGATTCAAAATTTTGATTTATTGATTAGTTTTCGATATATCGATTGTTGAAACCCTTTCAGGCAAATCGCTTCACGTGGTGGTGGATGGTGTATCGTCTGATACTATTGGCATCAATTCCGGCGTTCCACAAGAATCAATTTTGGAACCAACATTATTCCTTCTTCATATCAATGATCTGTTGGGAGTAACAACTTGCCCCATCCACAGCTTTGCAGATGATGGTACACTCCATACTGCGCGTTCTCTTCCAGAATTCTTATTTCTTCCCAGGAAACTAAGAACTCACGGCGCAGGCAGGTCAATGCTGTTAATGAAGACCTTGCTGAAATCACAGCCTGGGGAACCAACAACCTAGTTGAATTCAACGCCACCAAAACTCAAGTCCGTATTTTCTCTAGAAAGGCGGAACTCAGTATGCCCGACATTGTATAATGTCTGGCACCACCATCCCCACCAAGCCCACCATGGCTATGCTCGGTATTTTCATCAGCAACTCTCTTTCATGGGATAATCATGTCAGATCCATCGCAAAAGCTGCTTCACAAAAACTCGGATTCTTGTTTCGTGCGAAAAGCTACTTTACACCTCAACAGCTTCTCATGATCTACAAAGCGCTGCAGATACGGCCTGTTCTAGAATACTGTTCCCACATATGGGGTTCAGCACCAAAACATACGCTGATGCTCTTAGATTCCATCCAGAGAAGAGCCATCCGCCTGGTGGGTGACGCCACACTCACTCACTCTTTGACATTATTGGAACACCGTAGAAAGGTCGGCGACCTTTCACTTTTCTATCGATACTTCCACGGGAAATGTTCTTCGGAAATCTCTGCTATCATCCCTTCACTAGCAATGCCAGTCAGGCGAACTAGACAAGCCCAGTCAGCACATCCTTTCGTTGTCAACCTCGAAAGATGTCGAACAGCACTTAATCAAAACTCCTTCATCCATAGAACGGCTAGGCTCTGGAATTCATTGCCTGAGGAAGTATTCCCAACAACATATAATCTCCAGAAGTTCAAAAAAAATTCCAATACCTACCTCCTATCCCTATCCTCCCTAGGAACGCGCGATGTTCTTTGAACATTATAGGGATTCCCTTTCGTGCGCTCCAAGCGATAAAAAAAATCTCTAGTCATCCATACACATTCTAAACACCTATACCGGGTAATTCGAATTGGAGGGTCATCATTGGGATAAGGAGATACAAATAAGATGGATGAATTATAGAGCAGATGCGCATTCATGTGAATAAAAATAATGCCGTCGAGAAATTTTGTGAATTCCGAATATTTCCGGAGATATACGAAAAAACATAAATTGTGGTAAATCATTTTCATTTTTTGCGTTATTTGTTGGACAGTAAAATCAAAATTGAGAGCACGCATTTACATTGCCACTTTATCCCTGCTGCTATATATAGGATGACATTTTCAGATTCACAATATTTGGCTATTATTATTAATGAAAATTCAATATGGCGCTCATATGACAAAATAAATAAGTTGATGATGGCGTGAAGACGAAACGTTGGATAGTGAATCTGAAAGTGTCATCGTATAGCAGGGAAGAAGTGGCAATATAAATGTGCCAGTGGCGGAGTTGAGTGGGGGGCTTCCTGCACAATTACAAATAGTGTCAGTTCCACAGAATAAAACTGTTAAACTGACACTCTCTGTGCTTATACAACAAGTTATCGATATAACCCGAATTTTGGGATACTTATAGTATTACTACTGAAAATATAATATGTTATTTCAATATATTTTTATCACATGGAGTTTCGGAAATACTCAAAAAAATATCATCTTCATGAGCCCCTTTACAGGGGGCCGTATAGCTTCCTTAGGAGACATTTCTCATCTCATGTTCACTGAAACTTTTCTTCCTATTTTCGATAGTAAAAGCCTCCCCCTTATTCCAACTCCTCCAAAACTGGGTTTACATAATTTTTGAAGCAAGAAGGAGGTAAAGTGTCTAAAAAGACAGGGGCATGCCAATTTTGAATATTCTTTTTTTTACCTAATTAACAGTGCAATGCCTGGCTTGTAGCTCGAAGTAGTTGCATTTGAGAATAAATATTTACCTATTTTGATCCTAACAATGGGTTTTCAAAATAAACAACTCAACACTAATTTTGTCGCACACCAAAATGTCTCCCCTGATATAATGTGAATAACTTTTTTCAGTTTAGAACAATTTGAATTTGGTTCACACTGTTCGATAGCCCAGTCCTTCAGCTATAATCTCGTACTTCATGGAAACATAACGGTATTCACATAAAATCTCTACATGGTGTTTTCCGACACTGTGCGAAATTTCGGAATATTCAAAAGGCTCTCAAATGGTGAAAAAAAATTTTTTCTCAACTTCGACAACAGAGGCATGAAGATGATCTCATTACCTCGAGATATTTCGCGAATCAACTTCCTATCTCTCTTATTTACAGAGTGATCTCTAAAAATCAACTTTTTGGTTTTGCAGCCATAACTTTTTTCCACGTCAACCGATTTTGGAAAACTTAGGCTCATTTTGAAGATAAAACTTCAGATGAAGAGATCTGAATATCAGAATTGACTCAAGATGGCTATCAAAGATCTAGAGTTTTCTTGAAAGTGACCCAAATCTGGAACGCCCTCCGAATCTCGGTTGGGAGGAGAATTGAATTTAAATCAACTTGTTCTCGGAAAAACAATTCATTCTGGATGCGTCCATATTTCCCTCGCCCTCAGTACTCAAGAATGTGCGTGAGAAAACACAATTGAAACATGTTCTTGCAAAAACATCAGACCATTTCTCCTCTGTTATGCATGGCCCGTAACCAACGTTACAAGAATCACAGTAAGTGACTGACAAGTCAGGTTAGACGTCGTTTTCGAATCATAAACAGATTTTGATAGTTCCGATGCCGCATCTAACGACCGACCAGTTGGAACTGATTCCACAAATGAGGGAACAAGGGTTATCTTCCCTCCAAATCGCGGATCTGCTAAACACGACAGTCCGATCCATTCAAAGGGCTTATCTCCGACACGAATTTTTTGTTTATTACTGTCGATTCGTTCGACGCATTATTGCGACTGAAAACTTTACGTAATTGGCAAACTGTTTTCGTGAAACTTTCACCATTTTTGAAATGCGTTTTCACAATAAATAAACGTGGTTTGCTTGAATACTTCTCCATATTCTTAAATCGCATGTTATGTACGTGACAACTGTTAAGAAAATCACTTTATTGAAAAAATCAAAATCCGTTGTTCTCGTTGGTACACCATTTATGATGAGTCTCAGCTGGTCGGGTTTGTCAGTCACTCATTGTGATTCTTGTAACGTTGGTTACGGCGGGCCATGCAATACAGAGTAGAAATGATCTAATGTTTTTGCAAGAACATGTTTCAATTGTGTTTTCTCACGCACAATTCTTGACTACTGAGAGCGAGGAGAATATGAACTTATCCAGAATGAATTGTTTTTCCGAGAACAAGTTGATTTTCATTCAATTCTCCTCCCAACCAAGATTCGAAGCGCGTTCCAGATTTGGGTCACTTTCAAGAAAACTCTAGATCTTTGATAGCCATCTTGAGTCAATTCTGATATTCAGATCTCTTCATCTGAAGTTTTATCTTCAAAATGAGCCTAAGATTTCCAAAATCGGTTGACGCAAAAAAAAGTTATGACTGCAAAACCAAAAAGTTGATTTTTTGAGATCACCCTGTAAATAAGAGAGATAGGAAGTTGATTCGCGAAATATCTCGAGGTAATGAGATCATCTTCATGCCTCTGTTGTCGAAGTTGAGAAAAACATTTTTTTCACCATTTGAGAGCCTTTTGAATATTCCGAAATTTCGCACAGTGTCGGAAAACACCATGTAGAGATTTTATGTGAATACCCTTATGTTTCAATGAAGTACGAGATTATAGCTGAAGGACTGGGCTATCGAACAGTGTGAACCAAATTCAAATTGTTCTAAACTGAAAAAAGTTATTCACTTTATAACAGAAGCGACATTTTGGTGTGCGACGAAATTAGTGTTGAGTAGTTTATTTACATCGAGTTTTGAATGACCCTGTATAATTGACTGGAGCAATCATATTTATGTTGTTATTGTTCTTCGTTTTCAAAAAGCTCTGTTTGTAACTAAATTGTCAACTTTTTCCCTGTATACATGCAGATACATCATGAACTTCCCATCTTTCGGAGGCCACTTTTCCACTGTGATACCTTCGATTCACCATTTCGCATCGAAATTTTCGCAAGACAACGTGATATCGGCGCCGAACCACCAAGAAAACAGCAATAAATACACTGCGAACGGGATACCATCGTTCACCCAACACCACCACGCGGCCGTACACCCATCTGACCCATCGCAGGGTCTGAACGGTGGTAAATACCCCGGAAACTGTACCAATCAAGCAATATATTCTCAGCAAAACGATGGGCGGCAAGAGAAAAGGCAAAATTTCGAGTCCCATCAGCAAGAAGCAGCTCAAGAGTTGTGCACCCTTACACTACAACTACAGGAAAAACAAAATCAAAAGGTATGAAACCAATATAAGAATCTTTTTCTACTCACGTAACTAAAAATGGCATTTAGCGTACGGATATGTACCACGATAAATGATCGATTAATCACAGATTTACGATCTGTGTGAATTATTAAAAAAATTAAACTCGTTACCATGGCAACACCGTTTTTTAAACACACTTTCGGTCGTTTGAGTTCTGTCAGGCCTGTCAATTGCAATTGTAGGAACTGTCAACTGTCATTTATTTCGAATTTTGTTTCAATCGGTGACAATCAGAATTCTTCAAATAATTTCTCAGATATGAAAAACCCTAAGTCATCTCCATGGACTTCTTCCAAAGAACAAACAATATCTTTTTGTATTAGAATTCTTCATTAAAAATGTATGCAAAATGTAGATGGAAGTGAAATCGAAGAGAATGTTTTATGTACTCTGTGTAAAAATGAAGATCTCATCCTTGTGAGCAATTTATTCTATGCTGAGCATGACAATAAACGTAAAACACAATATTTATGTGAACAAAAATTATTCATTTGGAATAAGGATAAAAACCTGAGAAATCGAAAACTTTGATACCTCAGCGAATCGAGAGTTTTTATCTTATACGTCAGATGAAAACATCTTATTCACAAATGTTAGTGAGCAAGCCATTTCAATAGAAATCCATGTACCTATCCTATGGACTGGACACATCTACAACTAATATCACTTATATGTATGTGTCTCTTTGGTAGCATATACAGTTGCGTAGTATTACGTATTGTTTTCAATTCCCATTCCCTTCAAATTATTTTATTTTAGATTGGCAGGTATGGGTTGATCTAATTTTCGGAATTATTGGATCACGTCGAAGAAAGGAATTATGAGTTCGTAGAAAAAGTATGAAACGCGTTTATAAACTCTTCTAGACACTTGTTTATTGAACACTGGCTCCGCTCTGCTGCGCCCAAAACCAAATGCCGACCTCTAACCATCCAGTCTCAACGACCAAGGTCTCCTCTGCTTAGCAAACGCTGACTTCGTCAGGAGCCACAGTCGCCGATTATCTGTCACAGTTACTTGCTTTCACTTTGCCATTGAGTCATTGAGCAAAATTTCCTGAAATATTCCGCGGAAAGCATGAAGAGCAAGGATAGCGTCCAAACCCACTGTAATTCTGTGTTTTCCTCTTTCATCTAGGTAATAGTTCAACCACCAAGCAACCAAACGGTCCAAAACCAAATGCCGACCTCTAACCATCCAGTCTCAACGACCAAGGTCTCCTCTGCCTAGCAAACGCTGACTTCGTCAGGAGGCACAGTCGCCGATTATCTATCGCAGTTGCCGGCTTCTACTTTGCCATTAAGTCCTGAAATTTCCTGAAATATTCAGCGGAAAGCATCAAGAGCAAGGATAGTGTCCAATCCAACTATAATTCTATGTTTTCTTCCTTCAACTAGGTAATAGTTCAACCACCAAGCAACCAAACGGCCCAAAACCAAATGCCGATCTCTAACCAACCAGCCTCAACGACCAACGTCTCCTCTGCTTAGCAAACGCTGACATAAAGCCTGTTCGTTTGTATTGCTAAACTTGCTAAAGTTGATTTCTTTCCCATAGTTGTCTCTGTTCATGGCATGATGTAAAGAGAGAAAGTCATATAAAAAAATCAAGTTCAGCAGGTACAGTCAGAACAAACGAACAGGCCTTTCTTCAGGAACAACAGTCGCCAATTATCTATCGTAGTTGCCGGCTTCTACTTTGCCATTGAGTCTGCACAATTTCCTGAAATATTCCGCGGAAAGCATCAAGAGCAAGGATAGTGTCCAAACCCACTATAATTCTGTGTTTTCCTCCTTCAACTAGGTAATAGTCCAACCACCAAGCAACCAAACGGCCCAAAACCAAATGCCAACCTCTAACCAACCAGCCTCAACGACCAACGTCTCTTCTGCTTGGCAAACGATTACTTCTTCAGGAGCCACAGTCGCCGATTATCTGTCGCAGTTGCCGGCTTCTACTTTGCCATTGAGTCTGCACCATTTCCTGAAATATTCTGCGGAAAGCGTTAAGAGCAAGGAGAGTGTGGGATCACACGTTAATAGGTAAGGCCCCCGTCATTCCTGGCTCGCACAAGGCACAAGTATCTTGAAGACTTCTAAGGGTTGTTCGTAAGAGGGAAACCGAATGACGGATAGATTATTTTTTTACGCCGGCGGAAGTACAAGTTAGTTTCTCTGGTAACAAATGAAGGGCAGAAGTTTCGTGTTATTTCCTAGGGAGATAATGTGACATATTACCTCCCTAGGAAGTTTATACCAACTTTAAATTTTCCGCATAGCTCTGCGCTCTCTTTTCGGAACACCCTTCTCTGAAGCGAGTATAAGCTGCATCATACATATTTCTAGATCTCCCTGGTAGCAAGTTGAGAATCACTGCAGAAGTAGTATATCAATAGTTTCTTGGGGTGTTCCCTCGATTTCTTGTTCCATAACCGTTAACCATTTTCTAATCTGTGCTACTACTAATTATGACAAAACACTTGACTACATTTTTATTATATCTTAATTTTTCTGTTTTCGCCGGCTTAAAAAATAGTACATACACCTCAGGACACAATGCTATTTTTCCCTCGGTGCTTTTCTCTCGGGCTTCGCCCTCGACCTACAAATCGCACGTTGGGAAAAATCTTGCATTTCTGCCCTTGATGTACAGGGTGGGCAAAATTGGGCGTTTTCGCCGTCTATCTCAATAACTAGAGGAGTTATCGAAAAACCGATATACATGTTCCGGGTTCGATTTTGGAGAAACCTCGAATGGCACAATCGAAATTTCGATATCTTCAATCGTTTTAGAGATACAGGGAGAAATTGAAAATTTGCCGATTTCGATTTTATTTTCTGACTACTTTACGGTGAGAGGTATCAAAAAATTTCAAACGTTTATTTATACAGTTTGATGCGTGGAATTCATTGGCATCATCAGAAATTTTATACAGGGTGACGTTGAAAAGATACGGCAGCCAATTATGTTTTTTCTAATGAAACACCCCGTATATTTTGGCCCAGTTAAATAGTCCCAGGCGATCTCATTACAAATATATATATGACCCTACCTTTTTCTTCCACAATTTCAGATATATTCGCAAAAATATATTCAGTGTGTCACATTTCTTATGGTTACACCCCCGTATCTCCTGTAAAAATAATTGAGGTAGGATTCAAAAATTCGCAACTGTCAGAAAAATACAAATGATACACTCATGGAGTCATGGACCAAGTGGGATCATCTCCAATGATAACACTGCTCGCCAGCAGCTATGGAATCATCGATATTTCTGGATAATGCTATCAACAGGCAGAATCGAGGTTGAAAATGACACTCTGTATATATTCACCAAAGGTGGAAAATGAATATCATAGGGAATGTTATTTCCAGGCAAATGGATATTTGGTGAGAAATAAAATGGGAAATTATTCGATTTGATATCATTGTTATCAAGACATTTGAGATACAGAAATAAGACCAATAATTTACTCAATTAGGAAATCAGTAAGTTGCGTTGAAAAATATAGCCTCATAGAAGATGTCCAAATTCCAGATACAGAAGATACGGGGGTGTAACCATAAGAAATGTGACACACTGAATATATTTTTGCGAATATATCTGAAATTGTGGAAGGTAAAGGTAGGGTTATATATATATATTTGTAATAAGAACGCCTGCGACTATTCAACTGTGCCAGAATATACGGGGTGTTCCATTAGAAAAAACATAATTGGCTGCCGTATCTTCTCAACGTCACCCTGTATAAAATTTCTGATGATGCCATTGGATTCCACGCATCATACTGTATAAATATACGTTTGAAATTTTATGATACCTCTCACCGTAAAGTAGTCAGAAAATAAAATCGAAATCGGCAAATTTTCAATTTCCCCCTGTATCTCTAAAACGAATGAAGATATCTAAATTTTGATTGTGCCATTCGAGGTTACTCCAAAATCGAACCCGGAACATATATATCGGTTTTTCGATAACTCCTCTAGTTATTGAGATAGACGGTGAAAACGCCCAATTTTGCCCACCCTGTATAATGTACTATAGAATAACAATTTTAGTGTCCAGCGAACGCCGGTGCCAGATGGTCTTTCCGAGTCCAATAACGTGAATTTGCTGAACGCCAACGGTCTAAACAATCTGAGCTCTAGCGGTTTGAGTTCATTGTCTACGATCAACACTGCCCAACTTCAATGCCTCAGTGGTACGAAGAAGAAAAAGAAGAAAAAACTGGAGAAGGAAAAGAAACCGAGACCAAAGCCAGGTGAATATTATATGTGGAGCAGGAACTTATAGTTGTAGTATTTCTTCAATCATTGGGAATATTTGGTTCATTATCGAAAGTTTCCATATAAACTATTCAACACTAATTTCGTCGCACACCAAAATGTTGCCCCTGTTATAATGTGAATAACTTTTTTCAGTTTAGAACAATTTGAATTTGGTTCACACTGTTCGATAGCCCAGTCCTTCAGCTATAATCTGGTACTCCATTGAAACATAGGGGTATTCACATAAAATCTCTACATGGTGTTTTCCGACACTGTGCGAAATTTCGGAATATTCAAAAGGCTCTCAAATGGTGAAAAAAATGTTTCTCTCAACTTCGACAACAGAGGCATGAAGATGATCTCATTACCTCGAGATATTTCGCGAATCAACTTCCTATCTCTCTTATTTACAGAGTGATCTCAAAAAATCAACTTTTTGGTTTTGCAGCCATAACTTTTTTCCACGTCAACCGATTTTGGAAATCTTAGGCTCATTTTGGAGATAAAACTTCAGATGAAGAGATCTGGATAACAGAATTGACTCAAGATGGCTATCAAAGATCTAGAGTTTTCTTGAAAGTGACCCAAATCTGGAACGCCCTTCTAATCTTGGTTGGGAGGAGAATTGAATGAAAATCAACTTGTTCTCGGAAAAACAATTCATTCTGGATGCGTCCATATTTTCCTCGCTCTCAGTAGTCAAGAATTGTGCGTGAGAAAACACAATTGAAACATGTTCTTGCAAAAACATTAGATCATTTCTCCTCTGTAATGCATGGCCCGCCGTAACCAACGTTACAAGAATCACAATGAGTGACTGACAAATCCGACCAGCTGAGGCTCATCATAAATGATGTACCAACAAGAGCAACGGATTTAGATTTTTCAAAAAAATGATTTTTTTAACAGTTGTCACGTACATAACATGCGATTTAAGAATATGGAGAAGTATTCAAGCAAACAACGTTTATTTATTGTAAAAACGCATTTCAAAAATGGTGAAATTTTCACGAAAACAATTTGCCAATTACGTAAAGTTTTCAGTCGCAAAATAATGCGCCGAACGAATCGACAGTAATAACCAAACAATTCGTGTCAGAGATAAGCCCTTTGAATGGATCGGACTGTCGTGTTTAGCAGATCCGCGATTTGGAGGGAAAATAACCCTTGTTCCCTCATTTGTGGAATCAGTTCCAACTGGTCGAGCACGGTTAGATGCGGTATCGAAACTATCAAAATCTGTTCATGATTCGAAAACGACGTCTAACCTGACTTGTCAGTCACTTACTGTGATTCTTGTAACGTTGGTTACGGGCCATGCATTACAGAGGAGAAATGGTCTGATGTTTTTGCAAGAACATGTTTCAATTGTGTTTTCTCACGCACAATTCTTGAATGAATTGTTTTTCCGAGAACAAGTTGATTTTCATTCAATTCACCTCCCAACCAAGATTCGGAGGGCGTTCCAGATTTGGGTCACTTTCAAGGAAACTCTAGATCTTTGATAGCCATCTTGAGTCAATTTTGATATTCAGATCTCTTTATCTGAAGTTTTATCTTCAAAATGAGCCTAAGATTTCCAAAATCGGTTGACGTGGAAAAAAATTATGACTGCAAAACCAAAAAGTTGATTTTTTGAGATCACTCTATTGATAAGAGAGATAGGGAGTTGATTCGCGAAATATCTCGAGGTAATGAAATCATCTTCATGCCTCTGTTGTCGAAGTTGAAAAGAACATTTTTTTCACCATTTGAGAGCTTTTTGAATATTCCGAAATTTTGCACAGTGTCGGAAAACACCATGTAGAGATTTTATGTGAATACCCTTATGTTTCAATGAAGTACGAGATTATAGCTGAAGGACTGGGCTATCGAACAGTGTGAACCAAATTCAAATTGTTTCAAACTGAAAAAAGTTATTCAGATTATAACAGGGGCGATATTTTGGTGTGCGACGAAATTAGTGTTGAGTAGTTTATAATTCGATGACTACCTTCGATAGATATTTATAAGACCCTATTGAAATTGGTCAAAACATATATATCACTCTTGTATTGAAATGTTGGATTACTAACGGAGAGATCATAGATTATTTAGACCCATCCATGTTGATCATAAGGTGTCATTCATACTCTACTATACTAAACTGGTCAACATTGATAACGTCGTGCTCCAAAATATAGCCTGAATTCAAAGTAGAAAACTCACGAATTTCCTCACCAATTTGAAATCGGTTTACACCGATGATTAGCCTAATCTCTTGACAGTTTGTTGTGGCAATATGAAACTTCTTTTATTTCAGATGACATTGCTACAGGGTGATAATTGAATGGGTGTAAAATTGCATCGTGGTCGTCAACTCGTCACCTTACCGTTTGAACAGATTTTTAAAAAAAATTTTTCTCACCTGTATCCTCTTTATTGATGCTTTCTCTCGAAACGTTTTCGGAATTTTCAAATGCAGAGCTTTGATTATCGTGTTATAAATATTCATTTCGACGATTAATTGAACGAAATTGAAAGTTGGAATTCTTCTCCGAAGAATCAACGTTATGTATAGTCGTCGGATATGTGATCGTGTTCGAACACAGAAAATTCTGAAAAAGTCTAAACAAAGTGAATCAAGAAATACTGAATGATGGAATGGAGAATAACGTAGTCTTCAGTAGATGAAACATAATTTTCTCTGTGTTACTAGTGGAATAATGGAGTGTTACTTCGTCATGAGGATATCTGGTGTCTGACCTCGAAATGGTTTTGTAATTTCTTGGATCAAAGGTCATATAATGGAAGTACGCTTTTTTTAATCAAAATGATGCATTTTGCGGAAATTTCAAGAAAAAAGTATGAATTGGCATAAACGAATAATTTATGGAATCTAAAAAAATACAGAAATGAAATCTTTTTCGATAAGTGTACTTTTTTGAAATACTTTGAGGAACTAGGAAAGGCGTCTACTCTTTGGTCACAATATTCAAAGTGGCATAGTGCCACATTATAAAATGAATACCAATAAGCTACATTACTCGGATTCTTTGAATAAGTGCAGTTGTAGAAAAAGTATAGTGTGCAACATGTGGGGAAAAGCACTTTTCTCACTCGTGTGTTTGCATCACTTGCCCTTCAGGCTCGTGCCACAAACTTTCACACTCGTGAGAAAAGGTAAATTTTCCCCCTTGTTGCATAATATACTATTTTCTAATCACATAACTAAAATGGCATTTATCGTACGAATATGTACCACGCTAAATGATCGATTATTCACGGATTGGCTATCTGTGATTTATTCAAAATGTTAAACACGTTACCATGGCAACACGATTTCTTAAACACATCACCATGGCAACGCAGTTCATTAAACACAGCTTCAGTAATTCGAGACATGTCTGGCCTGTCAATTGCATTAACTGTCAACTGTTATTTTCATATTTTGTATCAGAATTATTCAAACAATATTCGTTCGTATCGGAATTCTTCATTAAAAATATATGCGAAATGTAGACGAGAGTGAAATCGAAGAGAATGTTCAGGTACTCACATACCTCCAAGAAGTGTAAAAATGAAGCATCCATCTTTGAGAACAATTAATTTATTCAGCGCTAAGCATGACAATAAACGTGAAACAAAGGTTAGTAAGCAACGGACTGGACAGATCTACAACCAATATCACTTATACGTGTCTCGCTGGTTGCATGCAGTTGTATGTATTATGTTTTCAATTCCCATTCCTCTCGAATTATTTTGTAGGTTAGCAGGTATGTTAATTAATGTAATTTTTGGAGTTCGTAGAAAAATCATAGTATGTAATGCGTTTATAAACTCTTCTAGACAATCGTTTATTAAACACTCGCTCCGCTCTGCTCCGCTCGTGCTTAAACTACTCGTTACTAAAAGGACGTTTATAACACTTGTTACATAATATACTAATTGTTGAATGAGAAAACTGACTCCTATTTTTCATTTCATTTTCTGCTTTACTCTAAAGGCGAAATCCGTCTGACGACCGCCCTGGACGGCTCCACCCTCTATTGCTGCCCCGAGTGCCACATGGCCTATCCAGAGAAGGACTTGCTCGAACAGCACCTCGTCGGCCACACGATGGAGCGCCGATTCGTCTGTGACATTTGCGGTGCAGGGTTGAAGCGCAAGGACCATCTCACCAGGTGAGATCCATATCACTAGGGTCCCTTGATGTAAATTGACGTATTTGTCATCTTAACAGGGTACGGACTGTACGTCTCCTCTCACTCCAAAGTGTTTGTGAAACAGTCCGGTCACACACACTCAAAATCATAGTTTAATCTTAAAAACAATGGAATAAGGAATGAACACCAATAAAACAAACGCTAATTACAGCTAAACAATAGTTTTCGATAATGAAATTCTGAATTTGACACAAGCACAAGAAGCCTACTGTATTTGTTTCAACAAGTTGTATTTCCTAATATAATTCTGTATTTTCCCATGACTCATTTCAGTATATTTTCATAAAATCGTTTTGTTTTCACGATGAGTAACCAAAATGCAATACGTTCGACCCTCGTAAGGTACTGATCTATTTCTCATTCTTCACATATATATGGGTCACTTCTGCGACTTCTCTCATCGTCCCAAGGACGAGTTTTTCTTGTCAGCGAGGAGAAAAAGAGATTTTTCGGTGGTCCTTCGAGCCGGATGTGAAAGTACTCACTTTTTTCCCACGGGAAATGAGTTATTTATGAAAAGTGACATTTTATAACCTGCCAACAGAGATGAAATGCCAAACTTTTTTCCCGTCACAGAAAAAAATAGCTTTTCACAATTATTTTGGCACACGAATCGTGTTTTACGGCTATTCATTAATTCGCGCATGCCATCACATTGTGCTGTTGTACAATGCACAGAAAATGCAGCGGGAAACGAAGGAATCCGGTTGGTACATTATGATTTAAATGTAAGTACCTACTATAGTCACTCACATATAGTTTTCAATTTGAAATTCGGTAATTTCTCTGATTTCTCATCGGAATTCCTTCTGCAATAGAAGCTAATAGAAATACTCGTGATATTTCTGAAAGTATGCAAGAAGATTGGATTCATGCAATCAGATGGGAGGACTGGTCTGACATGCTGACGAAATATGATCGTGTGTGTTTGACATTGACATTTTTAATCTATTGGCACTATTGGCAGTATTAACTTGTTTTGCAGAAGTGGCAGAAGGAATTTTAATAAAGAATGACAACATTTCATAATGATGCCTATGTGAGATTATTTACCTTTATAAATTGTGGTTTCGGCTCTTTCTCTCAATATGGATCGTATCGTATCAACATCAAATCTTCCGTTCTGAAGTGAACCTGATAAAAATACGTTGAAAAATGTTCTATATCCTACCAAGAAATTTGAATACCTCGCGAAGTTTGTGGCCTGAACCTGTATTCCATGCCTGCCGCATCATATTCTGTTTCCATTTTTTTAGAATTACGTTATCCGATGGAAATTCGAATAGAGTGAATTGATTTCCCGTGTTCTCAGTGTTCTCACAGTTGGAAAATGCACAAACTTGAATCTTTCTCCTAATTCTCTCAATTTGTCAAACCTTTGAAATTTGTGTCATGTACGTCCGTGTACTGTCAGTTCCCGCTTTTTCCATCAATTTATTTGTGGTTATGTCTGATTGTCAGTGCTTGTCATAGTGTCCGTACAAAAAACGTCAAAACAGCAGTGTCAAGTACATTTAGGAACTCTAGTTTAATCTAGAGTCCCTGTATATACCTTAGACAACAGTCCGCGGACAGCCGTTGGGGTTTTCAATATTTTGTTTCATTTGGTTTGCAATTTCAAGAAATCCGCAATATGTGAGGTAAATATTCAAATTCACTTGTAAAAACAGTACAAAAAAGATGAATTTCAGGCCCATTTTGATAAAGAATTTTTCAAGCTGATGGATTTCAAATTGAAAGAGTCTGCTGTGCCGTCAATTTATAAAATAGAGAAGTTCAAAAAAAGAGTTCCGTCATCGTATTGGGAATTCCGACTGAAACTGAGAATTCTACACCACCCTGTATTTGATTAAATTAAATACGAGTAAATAGTAAATCAAAAGTTAAGATATGGACATGTAAGCCGTTTTGACCAATAATGAATAGTTTTGACACAAAAAATTCCCAAAATTGAAAAATCTCGATTTTCCACACCCTATATCTCGGAAATCATTCTTGCTAGACCCCAAGTGTGCTAGGTCGTTGAATTCAGCTCTTCAAGGAGAATATGAAAATGCAATGAAATACAGGGTGTTCTATTTGAAAAAATTGATGTTCGATTTTGTGAACCTTTCTTGCGCCCCTCGTATAAAATATAGTCATTCCTGAAGTTAGCACTCATGATGCGATATGATGTGGAATTATAATATTTTGAAAATTCCTATTGGTTCAGAAGATATTTAACTGTCCCACTGGTCTAGGGACACCCTGTATATATATATATTGTTGTTTTGATTTTGTCACTTTTATTTCTGCTGAGTGTTATTAAATTGAGAGAATCGAAGAAAATTATATTGAAACAATTATACAGTGAGGACCAAAAGTCCGTCGCCCCCCCTGTAACTTCTTTATTCTACATATAACAAAAAAATGTTGATCACATAAGTTGTAGGGTTTCATTCGATCTCTCTAATGGTTCAAGTTTTATTCATACAGAGTGTCTCTGAGAAGCACGGTGACTTAGAAGTTAATTTTTTTGAATAGGACACCCTGTATTTCATTGCATTTTCAGATTCTCTCTGAAGATCTGATTATATCGATGTATCACACTTGGGGTCTAGCGGAGATGCTTACAGAGATATAGGGTGTGAAAAATCGACATTTTTCAACTTTAGGAATTTTTTTTGTCGAAACTATTCATTATTGGTCAAAACGGCTCACATGTCCCTATCTCAACTTTCGATCAACTATCTACTGACATTTGATTGAAACAAATACAGGGTGGTGCAGAATTCAGAAACCCGGTATGTGTCCCAATTAAATATCCGTAGATAGTTAATCAAAAGTTGAGATTGGGAGATGAAAACCGTTTTGACCAATAATGAATAGTTTCGACAAAAAAAATTCCTAAAGTTGAAAAATGACGATTTTGCACACCCTATATCTCTGTAATCATTTCTGCTAGACCCCAAGTGTGATATATCGATGTAATCAGATCTTCAGAGAGAATCTGAAAATGCAATGGAATACAGGGTGTCCTCTTCAAAAAAATTAACATCTAAGTCACCGTGCTCTTTAGATACACTGTGTATGAATTAAACTTAAACCATCAAAGGGATAGGATGATACCCTACAACCTATGTCATGAAAATTTTTTTGCAATATGTAGAATAAAGAAGTTACAGGGGGGGCGACGGACTCTTGGTCCTCACTGTATATCTTCTATTTTTTTATATCCCAACAGAAAACAACTATATGTTCTTGGCTATATGTGATACCACGTAGAAAACTCAAATTATCTTTCTTATATCTAATAGTAATATTCTTTTAATCTGAACTAACTGAAATATTTCACTAGAACTGAACTGAATCGTTCTTTCGAATGACGTTCATTATGTAAAATGCATGTCAACTGATTCAGTTCAGTTCATGTGAAATGTGTCAGTTAGTTCAGAATGAAAGTATATCACTAATGAAGTGAAGAAATATCTGATGACAAAAATTTGCAATTGCTACGGCTATGAACGGTTTGACAAATAATCTAACCCTCAAAATTGTTTCTGACAATCATTGATACTAGGAGAATTGAAAAGACAGAGCTCGTTATACATGTCTCATAGCGTGCAAGAACTGTCAGATGACTGACCCTGGAGGCAAAACATATTTGTTTACAAGTGATCGAAATAGTTTTCCACAATTATTTTGGCATATGAATCGTATTTTTCCGCTATTCATCAATTCGCTCTAATGCCATCACATTGTGCTGTTGTAAAATGCACAAAAACTGCAGCGGAAGATGAAGAAATCCGGATGGTATATTATGATTCAAAAGTAAGTACCTACTATAGTCACTCACATAGTTTTCATTCTTGAAATTTGGTTATTTCTCTGATTTCTCATCGGAATTCCTTCTGCAATAGGATCAGCTAATAGAAATATACCTGAAATTTCTAGAATAATGCAAGAAGATTGGATTCATGCAATCAATCGGTAGGACTGGTCTGACATGCTGACGATCGTGTGTGTTGTAGACATTTTCAATCTATTAGCAGCATTAGCTTGTATTGCAGAAGTGGCAGAAGGCAGAAGGAATTTTAATAAGGAATGACAACATTTCATAATGCTAACTATGTGAGATTACTATTTACCTGAAAAATCATATTCCCTAGTCTCTTGCTGCATTTTTTGTGCATTGTACAACAGCACAATGCGAAGGCATGCTTGAATTAATGAATAACGCAAGAAACACGATTCGTATGCCAAAATATCGTGAAAAACTATTTCAACCTTTTGATTCCTCTGTAACCAAATAAAAAAGTGAGTCTGTGTTTCAATAATTCACAGAAGAATGAGGTTGTGTTTCAATATTTTGCCTCCAGGGTCGGTCTTCGTGCACGCGACCTATTACTTCATTCAAACATCAATGCATTTTTTGAAAACAGAAAAGGACAGAAGTATATCTGTGTCCGGACTCTTGTCTAATCTACTGATCTTGATCAACAGGCACAAGCAATCGCACAATCCGGAGCGGCCGTTCGCTTGCACGGTGTGCCTGAAGGCGTTCAAGCGCAAGGAGCAGCTGACGTTGCACTTCGTCATCCACTCGGGCGAGAAGCGGCACGTATGCACCGAGTGCGGCAAGGGATTCTACAGGAAGGACCATCTGCGCAAGCACACGAGGTCGCATATCGCGAGGCGAGTCAAAGCGGAGCTTTCGCAGCAAGGTTAGTTGGTCTTTACTAAACTAGCAGACCTCGTAAACTTTGTTTTGCTATACAGTGTGTCTCACTTACCATGCTCACCATGGGTATCTTTTTAACGGTGAGAGATACGAGCTGGGTTAAATGACACCAAATGTCGAGTTTGTCAAGGCCAACTATAATGTGAAAAAATATTTTGATAAAATCTATTCGTTTTTGTTTTATACGCAAAAAACAGATTTTGATCATTTTCATGTCTCCTCCGTAACCTCTTTATTTATGAAAATATTCAAATAGGAATTTCACATTCTCATGGCAGTTTTTCAAAGTGATTTCGAAGAAAATATGAAATTTATACCAACTCTTCTAGAATTTGAGATATCAGCACCAACTTTAGTTTTTCAAATGTAGGTCATAGCTCACTATGACTTAGTTACAAATAACTTTTTTTTTTATTTCAGATGATATGTCGCAGTAATAGTTTTGTGTTGATAACAACGGAGTTATCGTCATTTATACAAAAACAATAAATTATTTGGAAGACGCCATCTCGAATTTATAAATTTTAACTCAAAGATCATGATCTCCGACCTCAAAAACCCCCACTTACCAATTTTGAATGGAATCGGACCAAATCTTGCCCGCCATCTTGGAGCAGCCATTTTTTTAAATTTCAACAAAAGTTCCATAACTCCGATTAACTTCAAATTTGGCAGGTGTTCATGATTTCGGTGACAATACATTATGGAATTTTTGTTGAAATCAAAAAAATGGCTGCTCCAAGATGGCGGACAAGATTTGGTCCGATTCCATTCAAAATTGGTGAGTGGAGGTATTTGAGGTCGGAGATCATGATTTTTTTTGTTAAAATTTATAAATTCCAGATGGCGGCTTCCAAATCATTTTTTGTTTTTGTATAAATGACGATAACTCCGTTGTTATCAACACAAAACTATTACTGCCACATATCATCTGTAAGAGAAAAAAAGTTATTTGTAACTAAGTCATAGTGAGCTATGACCTACATTTGAAAAACTAAAGTTGGTGCTGATATCTCAAATTCTAGAAGAGTTGGTATAAATTTCATATTTTTTTCGAAATCACTTTGAAAAACTGCCATGAGAATGTGAAATTCATATTTGAATATTTTCATAAATAAAGAAGTTAGGGAGGAGACATGAAAATGATCAAAATCTGTTTTTTGCGTATAAAACAAAAACGAATAGATTTTATCAAAATATGTTTTCACATTATAGTTGGCCTTGACAAACTCCACATTTGGTGTCATTTAACCGACTTCGTATCTCTCACCGTTAAAAAGATACCCATGGTGAGCATGGTAAGTGGGACACACTGTATACATTATTTCTATAATATATTTTTTCTACTCACATAACTAAAATAACATTTAGCGTACGGATATGCACCACGCTAAATGATCGATTAATCACGGATTGACAATCTGTGATTTATTCAAAATATTAAACACGTTACCATGGCAACACGATTTCTTAATGGCAACACAGTACATTAAACACAACTTCAGTAATTTGAGACATGTCTGGCCTGTCAATTGTAGGAACTGTCAACTGTTATTTTCAAATTTTGTATCAGAATTATTCAAACAATTTTCGTTTGTATCAGAATTCATCAATAAAAATATATGCGAAATGTGGACGAAAGTGAAATCGAAGAGAATGTTTTGGTACTTGTACAGTATGTTGATGTGAATAATACTTGTAGTTCCTTGATGAATATTACATGTGGTGTACCGCAAGGATCAGTTTTGGGGCCAATTTTATTCTTAATCTATATCAACTCAATATCTTCTTTGAAATTGAAAGGGAAACTAAAATTATTTGCAGATGATACAACAATAATCTATACTTCAAAAGATTTCAACGTTATCAATAATGATATTAAAAATGATTTGAAACAAATATCATCCAATGACCAATAAGTTGACTCTTAATTATATAAAATTGTATCGGTCCTGATCGGAAGAATAACTTTTTTTTATTCGCCTGAGATTTTTGAAAGTCACAAAAATTCTGGATCCTCCACACCATTTTGTTTCTTTCAATTATTGGATTGTCAAATGATCCATTGTGAACTACAACTCTTTATCTTTAAAATAACTCTAAGAAATCCAAATTTGATTGAATTTTCATGAAGCCTGAAGCAAAATAATAATAATCGTTTATACGAGATTACAACATTCAATCCATAACAAATTGCAAAGAAATGAGTGTATCTACTGGACTATTTGTTCGATTTCGATGTTCGAGTACTCATTCTCTTCAGAAATGAATAGCCTAAGATGACATCGGTACAGGTTGGAAAAAATCTGATTTTCTTTTTCTCCAGCGGTTTTTGTAAATGACAATACTTTGGTAGAATCCGCCATTTTGTTTTTGGTCATTATGAAATTTTCAAATATTCCACTGTATACTATAGCCCTTTAGCTATGAAACGACGCCAAGAAATACGAATTCGGTTGAGAAATGATGAAACCACGAGGAAAATAAAAACTTCCGGTTTTTTTGTGACCACCCGATAGGTGAATTCATTAGGATTATTGTTCCAGGGCCCTCTCAAACGCCACATCTGCATCCACCTGCCTCCACAGTTCCGAATACAACCGATAACGCAGGTATTCTCTTGTAAGATTTCTAATTTCAGTCGATAATAATTCTAGTACTCAATATGTGATGTTCACAACTAATTGGCGTTGTAAATTTGGCTGTGATACTTTTCCTCTAGGCTAGTCGGTAGATTCAATCTACGTTAAATTTTGAAGACTATATCGTGAAAATTCCAAATTTCCTGTTGAGAATGGTTCCATTTTGTACTTGGTGAGTACTAGAATTTTGAATGCAGAGTATACAGGGTTATCCACGGTGGATGGCCTATTGGAAGTATCTGGAGAACGAGAAGACAAAACATTCTGAAATTTGGGATGCTCTGATAATGGGCGTGTACACCTTAGTAGAACATTTAACTCAAACCATGTTTATAATGATCCTTTTGATTTTGATTGACGACATAATTCGATCGAAAAATTAACTGGAATGTTTTATATTTTTGGACATAAATAATAGTACCTTCTGAAAACGGACCCTCTTATGACGTAAAAACCTCATCTCGCTATAGTTAAAAGAAAATACCGAAAGCCCGACGGAGACTGAGGCAACTGATATATTAATTCTTTCAAATGTGATCTCGCGCTAATTCACTCTGTCAGAAATCATGTATCATTCATCTCTGTCTGGAATTGTCTTGTTTCAGTATTAGAGTTTTGATGTCAAATCATAGCCTCGTTTTTAGAGGTCCGAAAAATCGGGGATTTCAATAATTTTTTATAAAACGTAGGGAGCTCACAGCAAGAAACGGTTTGCGGTGGTGAGCTAGTTTTGGTGAGTTCTATCGAATTATGAAATAATTTTTTTTGTGATATAAGCCCATTGAACATTCTCTATCCGCCTGAAATATTTTCATCGATACAGTGTTGCCACATCTATCAGAAACAAATAGCAACTTCGTTATTCTAAATGGAACACCCTGTATTTTATTGCATGCATAGATTCTTCCTGAAGAGCTGATTTCATCGATGTATCACACTTGGGGTCTAGCAGGAATGATTATAGAGATATAGGGTGTTCAAAATCGGGATTTTTCAATTTTAGGATTTTTTGTGTCGAATCTATTAATTATCGATCAAAACGGCTTACATGTTACTATCCCAACTTTCGATTCACCATCTACTGACATTAAATTGGAACAGATACAGGGCGATCAGAATTCTGAATCTTGAAGCACCCTGTATTTGTACCAATTAAATTCCAGTAGATAGTGAATCAAAAGTTAGGATAGCGTCATGTAAGCCGTTTTGATCGATAATGAGTAGTTTGACACAAAAAATCCAAAAATTGAAAAATCTCGATTTTGAACACCCTATATTTCTGTAATAATTCCTGCTAGACCCCAAGTGTGACGCATTGATGGAATCAGCTCTTCAGGAAGAATCTAAAAATGCAATAAAATACAGGGTGTTCCATTTGAAATAACGAAGTTGCTAGTTGTTTCTCTAGAAGTGGCAACACTGTACCAATGAAAATATTTTAGACGGATAGAGAATGTTCAATTATCAAAGCATCCCAATTTTCAGGATGTTCTGTCTTTTCGTTCTTCAGATACTTCTTATAGGCCATCCACCGTGGATCACCCTGTATACAAGCCTCTAGTCATCATCGTTCGACTACCTCACACACTTCTCGTTATTGTGATACAAATTAAATTTAAAATGTACTCTGTGTATTATAAGTGACTCTTTTTTTCTATGGTACAAATTTTCGTCATATAGTACAAATATTGTTATAATTTTTATTAGTTGATTAAGTGTGTTATTTGTTCATTATTTTATTAATTATACCACAACGGACACCAAATATGAGGCATCAGACGGAACAAATATTAGTTGTTTTCACCAAACAATTGGCAAACATTTTGATTCAATTTTCATGAATTATCAATGTTTTTCAGTTAACGAATTTGTTTGCATCAGATCAGATGACTGTGTTTGGTTTCTGTACTTTTCGGTGTCAAACAAAGAAAACAGATCAGTTTCCTTTCAAGTCCGTTTTGAGGAATATAATTTTTAGTTTAGTTGTAGTTCCTGCTTAAATGGCTAATTTTAAGAATCTGAATAAACCTGTAGTGTTTTGGATCCTGCAACAAAAATTTTGATACTGATACAAAAATACCTACTGTAAATTAAATTACGATACTAATACGCAAACGTGCAATGGCGTTGCATTTCCTTCAACTGTATTTTGTATCCATCTATTTTTTTATTTATGAAAATCTTCAATTTCTATAATATTATGCTGTTGATACAATTTCCATAGGATCCAAACTGAAAACTGCTGATACTAGAAAAAAGTTAATTGAGGAAATATACCGTTGAACCGTTAAAATTTCCCCTTTTACACCAAAGAATAGTTTTTGTTTATTATTGAAAAACAATAAGAAATAGTACAAATCTGACAAAAGTATATTTATGTCTTCAAACTATTAGTATTGTAAGAATAAGCCATTTGAAATATAAAAGTATACTATTTGGATACGGAATATAAACTTAAGGTAGTTTGTAAAAAATGTATACTATGAGAATGCTTATTAAAAATAATGGACAATCTTCATTTAATATTTAAAAATCTCAAATTTTTATAAAATATGTCATTTGGAGTTCAGAATGTTTAAAAAAAAAAATGATTAGTTGTGTACAGAAATTGAAAATGTTTGGTTAGTCTTCCAGTTATAAAGTCAATTAAGGCTTTATTTTCTTCAGTGCGAATCAAGACAGGTGTATATTATTGTATTTTTATTGCTTTGTAGTGAAGTGCTTCCTTTGTTTTTGCTTAATATATACACATTTAATATAAAATAGATACAAGCATTACTCTCCTGAATGTTTCATTCCATATTCTTTTTGAGCTAACTATATAAAAAACAAACCAATGTAAGATAATCCTCAGTCAATTATGCCGCTAACTGTGAGGAACAGGTTGAGGTCTGAGTAAGTATCAGAATACAATAGCCATTTTGTCATCAATCAATATTTTTCTGGATCACACCGTCAAAGCAAATAGTTTGAAGTGATCTATTTTCAAATATTATTTAATAAATCTCGTGAACGATCAATTTTAGCCAAGCTGAAAATATGGGAGAAAGTGATAGTTCTCATCTACAAAACCTATTGTAGATTTACTCTCAATGATCAGGTTTATTCAATTTTCAAGTATGTTCGAACTGTAGTTTCAATATAACCACAGAGTGACCCATTTGTGTGTACAATGATGGAAGTAAGATATGGTTTAATTACTGATGCGCTTTTGTTTCAGAAATTTTTCTCGACCTCTCGAGAGCAATGGTTCCGTTGATCTTCTAATAGATGGCGACATTGCACAATTATGACTTCTGTCAGTTTTGAAATTGTCGCAGATTTTTCGAATTCAGAGTTTAATCCCACTGTTACATATGTTCCGCGTACCTAAAATGGCATTTGCCATTTCATTTCCACTCGTCACAGCAGCAATAGCAGCATTACCATCTAGAGGGAAAATGTAGAATCAACGTCTCGCTCGTTGTGACGTAGAGAAATCATAGTAGGCCGGTCGAGTGATTTTTTTGAAATTTTCAATATGTAAAAATGGCCGAATACGCACACCATATCTTACTTCCATCATTGTGTGTACTATTGAATCGATGAATTCATTTGGACCAGGTGTTAGCCCTAATAGCAAATACCGCGCCAGTGCCAGTAATAGGAAAAAGAAGTGGAACATATTAGGTTAGTGAGCATATGAACAATAATAATAGCGATTATTTCTCTCCACATTCCACTGTGTTTGACTCGGTAATCAAATGAAGGTAAACAATATCGTTCTGTAAGGCAAAAAAGTATTGCTGGCAGTGATTATTCAAAAACAAGTTATCCAATCAATCAGATCCCGAGAATGAATGGAATGCAGATCAAGCAAGTATGTGAATCTTGAAGCCTTTCCTGATCAAAACAAAAATACTTTACTATAATATGGTGTATTTATATCTGCAGCATAGGTATGAAATGCCAAAATCTGCCGAAATCGGGAACAAATCAGGTATGCGTCCCAACCCAAATAACCAACTATAGCAATGTTGTAGTACATCCTTTCATATCCTGTAATGTTCAGAGAACATCGTGAGAACCAAGGGAAATAAGGTAGGAATTGGTGTTCTTCTTGAATTTCTGGAGCCTCGCTGTTCGTTGGATGAACGAGTCTTTGGAAAGAGATGTTCTGCAGGTTTTCAAAGTGACCACAAAGGGGTGCGAAGCCTCAACTCGACGGGTTAATCTTGCGGGGACTGCCAAGGGAGGAACAATTGTTGATATTTCAGAAGAGCATCGTCCATGAAAATATCTATAAAATCGAGCCAGATCGCCAACTTTTCTACGGTGTTCCAGAGAAGTGAGTGAGTTTGTGAGCGAGGCATCACTTACGAGACGAATGGCCCTTTTTTGGACATAATCCAACAATTTCAGGGTATGTTTGGGTGCTGCACTTCAAATATGAGAACAGTATTCCAGGACAGGTCGGATCTGTGCCTTATACAACTTACCATGCTCACCATGGGTATCTTTTTAACGGTGAGAGATACGAGGTCGGTTAAATGACACCAAATGTGGAGTTTGTCAAGGCCAACTATAATGTGAAAAAATATTTCGATAAAATCTATTCGTTTTTGTTTTATACGCAAAAAACAGATTTTGATCATTTTCATGTCTCCTCCGTAACTTCTTTATTTATGAAAATATTCAAATAGGAATTTCACATTCTCATGGCAGTTTTTCAAAGTGATTTCGAAAAAAATATGAAATTTATACCAACTCTTCTAGACTTTGAGTTATCAGCACCAACTTTAGTTTTTCAAATGTAGGTCATAACTCACTATGACTTAGTTACAAATAACTTTTTTTTCTCTTACAGATGATATGTCGCAGTAATAGTTTTGTGTTGAAAACACCGGAGTTATCGTCATTTATACAAAAACAACGAATTATTTGGAAGCCGCCATCTTGAATTTATAAATTTTAACAAAAAAATCATGATCTCCGACCTCAAAGACCCCCACTCACCAATTTTGAATGGAATCGGACCAAATCTTGTCCGCCATCAATTAACAAAAATGGCTGCTCCAAGATGGCGGACAAAATTTGGTCCGATTCCATTCAAAATTGGTAAGTGGGGGTTTTTGAGGTCGGAGATCATGATTTTGTGTTAATATTTATAAATTCAAAATGGCGGCTTCCAAATAATTTGTTGTTTTTGTATAAATGACGATAACTCCGGTGTTTTCAACACAAAACTATTACTGCGACATATCGCATCTGTAAGAGAAAAAAAAGTTATTTGTAACTAAGTCATAGTGAGCTATGACCTACATTTGAAAAACTAAAGTTGGTGCTGACATCTCAAATTCTAGAAGGGTTGGTATAAATTTCATATTTTTTTCGAAATCACTTTGAAAAACTGCCATGAGAATGTGGAATATTTTCATAAATGAGGAAGTTACGGAGGAGACATGAAAATGATCAAAATCTCTTTTTTGCGTATAAAACAAAAACGAATAGATTTTATCAAAATATTTTTTCACATTATAGTTGGCTTTGACAAACTCCACATTTGGTGTCATTTAACCGACCTCGTATCTCTCACCGTTAAAAAGATACCCATGGTGAGCATGGTAAGTGGGACACACTGTAGATCATAAGCAGCTGACATGAAGTGAAAGAGCTCCTGGCCCGAAACAAAAAACCAAGTTTTTGGGATTCACTTTTAGCAATAATTGATCTCACGTGATTTTCCCAAGAAAGGTTATTGCTGATAGTAATACCAAGATAGATATCTTGACATGACAGTGGCATGAAATACTGTATTTGTGAGGTCAACAAAATAATTATAAACTCTTCAATATTTTAATCCTGAGATCATCAAAAATATAAAAATGTATCGGTGTCGCGTCAATTGGACGTGTAAAATTGGACGCACGACTATTGGTCGCAGTCAATTGGACGCGGCGACAATTGGACGCGGCGACAATTGGACGCGGCGACAATTGGACGCGGCGTCAATTAGACGCGGCGACAATTCGACGCGGCGACAATTGGACGCATGCGTAAATAAAAATAATTTTATAATTCCAATGAAATTCATTGTATAAAATATGAAATACTGATGGGCTTATATCCATAATTATAACAAATACCTATGGCCTCGTTTGACAATTATTTTCCTATCTCATATCGTAATATGAATTTACGATACGAATATAGTACAATATTTTAGGTTAGTTAGGTTAGGTATTTGTTATATTATAGATATGAGCCCTGCATATTCCATGCAATAAATTTCATTGGAATTATAAAATTATTTTTATTTACGCATGCGCTCAATTGTCGCCGCGTCCAATTTTCGTCGCGTCCAATTGTCGCCGCGTCCAATTGTCGCCGCGTCCAATTGTCGCCGCGTCCAATTGTCGCCGCGTCCAATTATCCGCGTCCAATTTTCGTGCGTCCAATTGACCACGTCCAATTGTCGGTAATCCAAATGTATCCACTCTGAAAATAAAAATAATTCGACATACACCCTCACGCTTCTTCAACTCTCCCCAAGTAGGCCTCCCACAGTACCTCCCTGTACTTCTGGGCGGCCGCCCCCCGGTCTTTGGCCCCCGTCACCCCCCTGCCGACGACGGCGACGTCGGCGCCGCGCTCCAGAACGACGTTGCGCGGCGAGGCGTACCGCTGGCCGAGCGCGTCTTTTTCGGCGTCGAGGCTCACGCCAGGTGTCAGCTGGACTAGGCCAGGGTGGGCTCGGAAAAGGGGGCTCTGGCACACGACACCTGGAAAAATCGATTATGATTCATACATACCGGGTGTACCACTGAGAAAGGACGTCGGCTGTATCTCGGAAACTATTTGCCGCACAGGTTTCGGAAAAATATATTGATGATGAAAGTGGCCAAGAGAAATCTCTGGAAATTATTTTCAAGTTTCCAGGACAGCCGCTAGAGGACGTAATTGCATTGGTCAGTTCGAAAAACGGGTTTTTATGAAAATTTGATAAATCGAGACATATCAAAAACACTATTTTCAAGTTCTCGAGCTGATAAATTGCACTAGATCTTTAAGAGGAGAGATTCAACCAAATCGACATGCAGGCCTTCACTAGATGTTGCTATATGGGCTTATGAATGATTCAATTGCAAAACTGATTGAATCATCGTAAAGAAGAAGGTTGGGACTAGGGCCTGGTTATCATACGGAGTCGAAACTCATTTATTTATAGAAGATACAGATTTTTGAAAAACGTAAACATTGAAATTTTTTTGTCTCAAATTGAAATATTTTCGATCTCAGTACAATTGTTGGAAATTCGGCAAGGTGTCACTGAAATATCAGCTCTTGAAATGTTTCCATTCGGACAGGAAGCAACAAAAACGATTATTCTGTCAACAAAATATCCATTCATCCCAGCTGATCTCGGTAAACTCCATTTCTTGAAAGAATGTAATGCAGGAAACTAGGATGTGGTAGTTCAGGCACTACCTGATAGATGGCAGTGTTCGAAATGACAGACTGCGGCAGAGAGGAATGGTGCATTTTATTGCAAGCAGATGGCGCTTAGGAGAGATGATGAATTCAAACCCGTTTACACCGTTGCCAATGTTATACATATTACTCGGACATATTATGAAATCTAGGCGACGTGATAATACAGAGGGTATTATTCAATTATCTGGGCATATTTCAAGGGGAGGTTCTCCGAGTGTTTGTAAGACGAACAAATCTAATATATAAAATTCTCCTGTCACGGTCACGGTCATAGTGGTCGAACTCCTCCGAAACGGCTCGACCGATTCGTATGAAATTTTTTGTGCGTATTCGGTAGGTATGAGAATCGGTCGTGATCTATTTTTTAAATAGAAAATACAAAATGGCGGATCCAATATGGCGACCGAGTATAGTTATACGATTTCATTCAAAATTGGTACTCAGGGGTTTTCGGGGTCGGAGATTATGAATATTTCGTAAAATTTTGGAAATTCAAGATGGCGGATCCAATATGGCGGACGAGCTTTGTAATTTTGGTCAGATTCCATCCAAAATTGGTATCTGGGGGTTTTCGAGGTCGGAGATTATGATTTCTTCATCGAAATAAGGAAATTCAAAATGGTGGATCCAATATGGCGGACGAGTTTTGTAATTATTTTTTTTATCGCTTGGAGCGCACGAAAGGAAATCCCTATAATGTTCAAAGAACATCGTGCGTTCCTAGGGAGGATAGGGACAGGAGGTAGGTATTGGAGGTTTTTTTTGAACTTCTGGAGATTATATGTTGTTGGGAATACTTCCTCGGGCACTGAATTCCAGAGCCTAGCCATTCTATGGATGAAGGAGTTTTGATAAAGTGCTGTTCGACATCTTTCGAGGTTGACAACGAAAAGATGTGCTGACTGGGCTTGTCTACTTCGTCTGGTATTGCTAGTGGAGGGATGATAGCCATTTCTCGTGGAAGTATCGATAGAAAAGTGAAAGGTCGCCGACCTTTCTACGGTGTTCCAATGATGTCAAAGAGTGGGTGAGTGTGGCGTCACCCACCAGGCGAATGGCTCTTCTCTGGATGGAATCTAAGAGCATCAGCCTATGTTTTGGTGCTGAACAGAACAGATTGGTCAGATATCATTCAAAATTGGTATCTGGGGGTTTTCGAGGTCAGGGATTATGATTTTTTATCAAAATTAGGAAATTCGAAATGGCGGATCTAATATGGCGGACGAGTTTTGTAATTATGGTCAGATTCTATTCAAAATTGGTATCTGGAGGTTTCAGAGGTCGTAGATAATTATGAATCATTTGTCAAAATGGGGAAATTCAAAATGGTGGATCCAATATGGTGGAAGAGTTTTTTAATTATTATGATCAGATTCTATGTAAAATTGGTATCGGGGGGTTTTCGGAGTCGAAAATAATGATCCTTTTATCAAAATTTGGAAATCCAAGATGGCAGATTCAATATGGCTGACGAGTTTTGTAACTTAATCCGATTCCATTCCAAATTTGTATATGGGGGATTTTGGGATGGGAGATTATGATTGTTCATCAAAATAAGGAAATTGAAGATGGAGGATGGCAACTGAGTTCTGTAGTTATGATCCGATTCTATTCAAAATTTGTATCTGGGTGTTTTCGGGGTCGGAGAAGAATTAGAAAACAAATGAATAAAAGTATGTTGATAAATATTTAACTAAAAAAATATTTTCTGGAAATAATTGTATATAGCAGAACAACGTTTGCCGGGTATCAGCTATTGTAATAAATATTAGTTTGAAAAACTAATGAAACACCTCTTTATAGATAGCCGTACTAAAAAGAAGTGAGTAGAAAATAAAGAGTAGTTTGAAAAAATGAAGAGGTATAGAGAACCGAACTAAAAAGAACTAGAAAATAAATAGAGTAGTTTGAAACGGCATAGAATTTGTCACTGAATTATAATTATATAAGTAGCTAGACCTGAAAATTTAAACATACAAATTCAGCAGAATTTCTTCAATTCTATTCATGAGATCGATAATTATGTCAGCATATAGATGGAAATAATAGGAATGGCACAGTTGTGGAACAAACTTCAAAAAGCTTTGTTAATCTGTGTCAAAAGTTCAGGTTATTTCACTCTAAAACTCATGCAAAAAAATTCGTCTCAGAGTACAGTTATCAGATTTTGGATCCATTGATATGGCGATGTTCACAAAGGATAATACCGCCACGGCAACAAAACAAAACTGAGCGAGAAATCGTTATATGTCTCTCTCCCTCCCGCGGCGAACCGGGGGGATATTCATTGGTCGCGCGGTGATTCCCCGTCTTTCCGCAGTCGCCACGTGCCACTTTGAACTGCATGAACTTCAGATGAACTTCAAACTAACCGGGATATAATCAATAATTGAAAAGCCAGTGTTGCAAGCTGCTGCAAATGATATGTCGCAAAAATTCATAAGAATGGGCAGAAAGGCGAGGCAACTGGAAAGTCAGCCACATACGAAATATTTGAAAATATAGCAGCCGCTTTTTTTTTTCGAGACATTTGGAGACGTTATCGAACATCCAGTTCATGTTTTAGAGAATTATCGTAGGTAGATACTTGATATTCCACTTACATCTTCTTTGGGGAAGATTTTTGAAATTCAATGAATTCCCCGTGATATTAAAATTTTCTTTGAAATATATACAGGGTTATTCATTCAAAATGGTCAATGTGTGAGCTAGAAATAAGAACATAAGAATATGAAGATTCAGCCTCACATCTCACATCTCACATAGAAAATGCTGTTAGTTTTGGAGAAACAGGGTGTACAAGTAAAATATTTTATTTTGAAATTCCTCATACAATAACTTTGTAAGTTTTAAATCAGCATGAAAATGGTCAATGTGTGAGAGCTAGAAATAGTAAACATCAGAATATCAAAGATACAGCCTCACATCTCTCATAGAAAATGTTGTTAGTTTTGGAGAAACAGAGGTTGTTCAAGAAAAATATTTCATTTTAAAATTCCTCATACAATAACTTTGTGAGTTTTATATCAGCATGAACATAATTTTCTTATATTTTTTTCATTATAATTCGATTTTCGAATGATTTAAAAAAAGTTGACCATTAAAACAAAATGGATTGTGAGATATAGAAAGCATATGATGGCAAATCAATTTCTCACCGTTATGTTGAAGACCGAAACCAGAGAATCCTGGAAACTTTGGTACGATATAATCACACTCACACTATATACACTGTTTTATCACTATCAAACAGAATTTTTATCAACTCGACAAACTTTATTACCTAAAAACATTCGCTGTCTAAGATAGACTAACAAAAACTTTTGAGATGGTGTTCGCTTGAATCTCCTAATTTTGACAAATGATTCAAAATCTCCGACCCCTGAAACAGCAGTAAAAATTTTGAATAGAATCGGATAATAAAATTAGAAAACTTGTCCGCTATATATTGGATCTGCAATCCTGAATTTCCCAATTTTGACGATAGAATCATAATCTCCGACCCCAAACACCCCTATATATAAATTTTGAATAGGTTAGAATCATCATCACATAACTCGTCCGCCATATTGAATCCGTCATCTTGAATTTTTCATTTCGGGATTCATAATCTCCGACCCCAAAAAACCCCAGATACAAATTTCAAATGGCATAGAATCATAATTACGAAACTCGTGCGCCATGGTGGTGGAGCCATGATGAAAGAATCATAATCTCCGACGCCGAGAACCCCCAGACACCAATTCTGAATAGAATGGGATCATAATTATTATAAAACTCGTCAGCCATCTTCAATGTCCTAATTTTCACGAAAGAATCATAATCTCCGACCCCGAAAACTTCCATATACCAATTTAGAATAGAATCTAATCATAATTACAAAATACTACATAATATGAGATGAGATGCGATACTGCACCCTTCAAATTTATTGCTATTCATTGACCTCGCGATAACGGGACACGGAACGGGTCGTGACGATGACGCGAAATCCAATGTTATTCTCCACCCAAAAAAAGTGCTCAACGCGCCTAGAAGTTCTCACTTCGAAAAAATTGTTTTTTTCATAAGTGCAATTATGATCGAAATTTGTATTTCAGCAAGCAGGTCTGAATTAGAGAACATGAAATTTGAATCAAGGATTTCTTTCATTCTACACACTGTATATATCAATATAACCCTTATATCAGTAATAGCAGTGTGAATTCGTAAGAATGAAGATATTTGAAACTAGGCAATCGTCTACGTATATACCCTATACAGAAAACACGAAATTTCTATTTATAGCCATCTGAACTTGATAAAAAATCTTGCACACATTATTTCTGAATTACACAGACTATTTTGCCCTGAACAATGATTTCGATCCCCATCCTTGGAAGTTTTTCTGGTGACGCCAATAATGATAAGTTATATTAGTAGGAAATGAAATTAAAAAGGAAAAGAAATATTCGAAAGACTACTTGTGAAGACAGTTTCAAAAATCACTCATGACATAAATTTTCATTGTAGCGAGTAGCGAGAATTTGCTTGACTTGAATGGAGTGAAAAGTGGAATCATGTTCAGCAGGCCCGTGGAGCAGTAGCTCTGGCAACACTGCACGTACATAATACAATTACCTACGATTGCATTCAATTGTGTGCCACCTATTGGTGACCTGCTGTAACAGACGAAATCGAAGAACTCTACAATAGCTGTGAAAGCTGTAATTTAATTATTTTATTCCGATTTCGACATCACACTGACACCTGGAAATAGTTGTTGAACTAGTATATATATATAGGCTATATTCGGTCGGAAAGCTGTCGCGAAAGGCCCGCCTTAAATGAAAGAGGAAGGGAATAATGAATAGTACTTTCAAAAAACTCTTATTACTACAGTTTGGTGTAACGGAATTCAACGATCTTGGTCTCATTATGAAGGGTTTTTTCAGTTCTTCAGGATAAATCGCGAACCAATTCGATTTAAATCCTGTGGTGGCCGCTAGATGGCATCGTTTGAAAAATCAGACGATTTTCCATTGTTTTTCGAGATACAGTCTATTTTTTGATACTATTGGTAGTATATAGTTTATTGATAATTATATTAATTACTAGCTGACTCGGCGAACGTTGTTTTGCCATATGCTTTATTTATGGAAAATATTTTCCAGTTGAATATTCATCAACACGCTTTTAATATTTTTTTTTTTAATTATTTTTGGTTTGGCTATCCATAAAAGTATGTGTTTCTTCACTTTTCCAAACTGCTATTTATTTTCTACATCTTTTCAGTTCAGCTACCTATAAATTCGTGTTTCGTTCGCCATTATGAATTTCTTAATTTTGACGAGAAGATCACAATCTCCGACCCCGGAAACCCCCAGATACCGATTTTTAATAGAACCGAATCATAATTTAAAAACTTCTTGGACATATTGGATCTGCAATCCTGAATTTCCCAATTTTGATGAATGAATCATAATCTCCAACTCCGAAAACCTACAGATACCAATTTTGAATAGAATCCGATCATAATTACAAAACTTCTTCGCCATATTGGATCCGCCATCTTGAATTTCCAGATTTTGACGAAAAAATCTCCGACCGCGAAAACTCTCAGATACAAATTTTGAATAGATTCGGATTGAAATTATAGATTTCGCCCGCCATTTTGAATTTCCTCATTTTGACGAAGTAATCATAATTTACCACCCCGAAAACCCACATATACCGATTCTGAAACGAATCGGATCATTTTTTTTTTCAGAAAAATACTTCATTAAAGAAATGCAACTTTTCAGACCACAACAATTAATAGTATTTTTTTTCCAAATCAGCAATAATGCTGGTGATGGAACTCAAACTTAATAAGCAGACAAGTTTAACATAAATAAAAATAGAAATGCCGTTTAACATTTGGGTATACAGTCTTGAAGCATATTTAACCTTAACAAAATAGATACCTATTTTGAATAAAATCGGATCATAGTTACAAAACTTGTCCATCATATTGAATTCGCCATTATCTGCTAAATATGGAGAAAAAATCTAGTGAGCTGTCACTAGATTTTTTTTCCATATTTAGGAGACAATGGAATTTGCCATCTTGAATATTCCAATTTAGACGAAAGGCTCATAACCTCCAAATCCGAAAATTTCAAAATTTTGACAAATGAATCATAATTTCACTCGTTCGCCATATTGGATCCGACATCTTGAATTTCCAATTCAAAAAATAGTTATGACCTATTCTCATACCTACCAAATATGCACAAACCGTTTTGGAGAAGTTTGGCAACAAACCGTTACCATCCAGACGAGAATATTAAATATTAGAGATGATAGATGGATTTTTTTCTACCACCAGTCCGTCCTAGGATCAACCATGTGGGAGACCACTGATTTTTTTAAAACGAAATAATCATGAGTTCTATAGCAAAAAAGAACCAGTAAATATAGTTTTAAATTTTTTCATTCATAGGACTATGAAAAAAATGAATTAGTCCCAACACAACAATTTTTCATGCAGAAGAATTTAAAAACATATTTTTATATGTGTATAAACTATAGCAAAAAACTACCAGTAAATATAATTCTTAATTTTTTCATTCTTAGGATGATAAATGGATCTCGAAATGAATAAATAAAAATATGTTCATTTCAAAACACACACTTTCTGTGCCATTTGAAATGGTGTCATTTCATTGGTGTGGCTGCTTTGAGGTATGTCCCAACACAACGATATTTCATGCAAAAATATTAAAAAAATATGTCTATATACAGTGTGTCCCACTTACCATGCTCACCATGGGTATCTTTTTAACGGTGAGAGATACGAGGTCGGTTAAATGACACCAAATGTGGAGTTTGTCAAGGCCAACTATAATGTGAAAAAATATTTTAATAAAATCTATTCGTTTTTGTTTTATACGCAAAAAACAGATTTTAATCATTTTCATGTCTCCTCTGTCCGTAACTTCTTTATTTATGAAAATATTCAAATAGGAATTTCACATTCTCATGGCAGTTTTTCAAAGTGATTTCGAAAAGAATATGAAATTTATACCAACTCTTCTAGAATTTGAGATATCAGCACCAACTTTAGTTTTTCAAATGTAGGTCATAGCTCACTATGACTTAGTTACAAATAACTTTTTTTTCTCTTACAGATGATATGTCGCAGTAATAGTTTTGTGTTGATAACAACGGAGTTATCGTCATTTATACAAAAACAAACAATTATTTGGAAGCCGCCATCTTGAATTTATAAATTTTAACAAAAAAATCATGATCTCCGGCCTCAAAAACCCCCACTTACCAATTTTGAATGGAATCGGACCAAATCTTGTCCGCCATCTTGGAGGAGCCATTTTTTTTAATTTCAAGTGAATTTTTTTCCACTTCTGGTCGTCCGATTAACTTGAAATTTGGCAGGTGTTCATAATTTCTGTGACAATACATTATGGAATTTTTGTTGAAATTAAAAAAAATTGCTGCTCCAAGATGGCGGGCAAGATTTGGTCCGATTCTATTCAAAGTTGGTGAGTGGGGGTTTTTGAGGTCGGAGATCATGATTTTTTTGTTTAAATTTATAAATTCAAGATGGCGGCTTCCAAATAATTTTTTGTTTTTGTATAAATGACGATAACTCCGTTGTTATCAACACAAAACTATTACTGCGACATATCATCTGTGAGAGAAAAAAAAGCTATTTGTAACTAAGTCATAGTGAGCTAAGACCTACATTTGAAAAACTGAAGTTGGTGCTGATATCTCAAACTCTAGAAGAGTTGGTATAAATTTCATATTTTTTTCGAAATCACTTTGAAAAACTGCCATGAGAATGTGAAATTCATATTTGAATATTTTTATAAATAAAGAAGTTATGGAGAAGACATGAAAATGATCAAAATCTGTTTTTTGCCTATAAAACAAAAACAAATAGATTTCATCAAAATATTTTTTCACATTATATTTGGCCTTGACAAAATCCACATTTGGTGTCATTTAACCGACCTCGTATCTCTCACCGTTAAAAAGGTACCCATGGTGAGCATGGTAAGTGGGACACACTGTATATGTATAAGCTGTAGCAAAAAACTACCAGTAAATATGATTTTCAATCTGCTCATTCTTAGGACCATAAAAAATAAATTAAAACATGTTCATTTGAAAACACACACTTCCTGTGCCATTTGAAATGGTGTCAAATCATTGGTGGGACTGATGTGAGGTATTAGTCACAACACAACAATTTTTCATGCAGAAAAATTAAACAAATATTTCTACATGTGTATAAGGAATAAAAAATCAAAATACAGATGATCATAAATTGAAGTGTCAGTAATGTTTAAGGAAAAATTCTGTGTGACTAACAGGGTGAAATAAATGATAGTTATTATATAAGAAATTAAATCATCACCACCAGCATCCAAATAGAGCAATGTCAGCTGACGCCACAACATGGCGCACTGTCGTTTTTATCAGCTGATACATACATACAAAGTTGTGTGTGAATTTTGATTTTATTATTACTGACCCATCTGTGATTTTGTTGTACTTGTAGATATTATGCGAGAAGAATGTGTTCATTTTCTTCCAAAATGAGTATCTATTGAGGTATATTACGAGGTATATTTGGTATATTAGAGCTGAACTCAAGTGAATCCAGTAATTTTAAATTGACAAATAAACCAATTTGAACTCTTTTTTGGACTCATTCACTTTTCTCACAGCATTCATGATGAATGAATCAACATACATGTCAATAAATAAATGCTCCAGGTATTGTATTTTAGTGGGAAATGTGCAAGAAAGTTACATGTACTCTTTATGGAAAATGGGTATGCCTGTCCCCCTATCAGCTGTTCAATGGCCGACACTTTTACGTCATATGACGCCATTGACATTGCTCTATTAGTGACTCAAATGAAACAAAACACAGAATATTTTTAGGATTTCTATTAGTACCTGCTATCAACTCTGGATATTCTTCAGCCATTGCCAATGTTGCCTTCACATAACCATCATTAATCAAATTACCAGCTGAACTAACTTCTGCCAGAAGAAATACCCCTCTCTTATACAATCCACCACTACGTTTCAGAGCATCCAGGACTCCTTTGCCCATCAAGGAATGGGCAGTAACAAGACTAGCCCATAAAGATATATGATAAACCCCTGAGCTATACTGATACTCCACTGTTTTTCCAATATCAGCAAATTTTCTGTCTTCAAATAAAATAAAGTTGTGTCTTTGAGCTATTTCTATGAGAGGTTTTATCAGATTCAGGTGGAAGTCTTCTAGGATATCAATGTGAGTTTTCAGTATGCAAATATGGGGCCCAACTTCTTCAGCAAGGTTCAGAAGATCAGTGGAATTTGTTAGGTCAGCTGCTACACATAATGTAGTTTTTTTTGAAGACATTATCTCAAATAGCTCCCCAGCTACTGGATTTCTAGCTAGTTTTGCACGACTTTTGAATGACAAACTCAATCTATCTGAGAAAAAAAAATCAATATTAAGTTTCATAGATAGATTGGAAGTGTTGTTATGTTATGTAAAGCTTACTGTAGGTTTGAAAATTGATTTATTTACCTTGTTTTATTGTCTTGGTCAACTGAGTTTGATCAATTTGAGTTGCAGCCAAGTACTTCTTTACTTTTTCAACCATAGCATCATCAACACAGCCAGCTTCATGCAGATATTCCATCAGCTGAGTCATACTCAACAAACTATGCATTTGAATGCCATTATTTTTCAAGAATTCTGAGCCCCCTTGTTCCCTATTCAACAAAACAACTGCATCAGTACATTTTATCCCTGCACCATTGAGATCTTTTACAGTTTCTAAAATGCTACTTCCAGAGGTGACAACATCTTCTACAATGAGACAGTTTTGTCCCTCTTTGAATATTCCTTCTATGAGCTTTTTGGTGCCATAGTCTTTGGCTTCCTTTCTTCTCATCACCATTGGTATGGAAGTTTTCAAAGACATTGCAGTTGCGATTGGTAGAGCTGTATATGGTACACCACATAACAAATCAAATCTGCTTATATTTTCTAGGTATGTCACTAGAAGATCAGCTAAGGTTTCCTGAAAATGAGGATAAAGAGCATAGCTAATATACAGGTTGATGAAGATGTATGTAACGTGACTTACCATGGTTCTAGGGTAGCTTACAATAACTCTAAGGTCACAGTATACAGGGGTCATCACACCAACTTTGGTTTTATATTCTCCAAATTTGATGGCATCGATTGCAAACAAATCCTTGGCAAATTGTTTGAGCTTCGCATTGAACGAATCCATTTTCATCGGAATATTATCTTAGTATTGTGCTATAATTCAAATAAATTAAAAATTCACAAGACTACCGACTACTGTCTGGAACAATGTAGGTTGATAATTGTCTCTGCTTTTTTTTCGTTTGTCACTGTCAAGGCTTTTCCAACAACCCACAAATATCCCAAAAATCATTTCGCTTCTGCCTCTGGTGTCTGGTGAATCTGGTGTGAGAACTAAAATCAGATGATCAATAAAATTAGAAGAAGAAGAGCAAAAGTGATACCGCAAGCCGCAAGGCAGGGTTGCCATCTTAGCGATATTGTCGCTAAATCTAGTTTTTAGGGTTGGTGGATGCGCAGATGCGACATTTCAACCTGATTAACAAACTAATCTGTGGTTTTCATCATTTGTGCCACTTCCGCCACTTTTCTATGATATTTTGTATATTCGATTTGGTTTAAAAACTTGTGATCCTTGTGAATATTTTATTTTGCCTGTATTCAGTATTGAAACCTAAAGGATACCAATAATGTGACTTATAGCAATGAAGTCGCAGGCGGTATAATATGATGTTGAACAAGAAATATGAGTTGATACGTCATATAGTTATGGTTTGACAGGTTCATTATCAATGTGTGATACAATCTTCTCTCCATCCTTGATATAATCAAAGATAAACCTCAAAAATGTGATCGAGAAATGTTATGTTGTGATTTACCAATGTACCTACCTAATAGTACCGAATAAAATTGTATAGGAAGATGTACCTATATTCATTCTCTGTTTCTGTTTTTTTCATTCTCAACTGTTCTCAACAGATTCTGAATAAATAAAGTTTTTTACGATTTTTCATCTGATGCTATGAACCAACTGAAAATGAGGACATATGATCAAAAATGTCGCTGAATCACGAAAAGAAGTCGCTAAATTTTCAAAAATTTTGACTGTATATAGCGGGCATTCTGATCGTCTAAGCTCGCTTTAGAGACCTGCAACGGCAACGGCAACACTGCTGCAAGGCAAATATTTCTTTTTGAGGTTAGGTTGCTTGTCGGTCGGCAAGAAGACTGTTTGCTGATAGTTTTCACTTTTCAGTTTTCTGTTTTCAATTTTGTCCAAACTACAGTCTCAGTTTTTCATATTTTTCATCTCCGTATTTCATATTTTATAATTATTGTAGTGCAGTGAGGCTGGTGAGCAGACATCTCCTCCCATCTAGGAATACATCAGGTGCTGATTTTTTAGAGGTATGTTTATTCCCGCTTTTTTTCAGTGAAATAAAAAAATTCTCGAAATTCGTTTAACAATAATATATTCAAGCAAACAATTATTATATACATAGAATGCAAAAAGCAAGCAAGAAATCAGTTCATAAAAATTGTACAAAAAATATGCCATGTAGGCTGAAGGCATTTTGTGCTAAACTGTTAGAAAAACTAACCGGTTCATGAGTATAAGTTCCTATATTATAATTATGATGATTCCAGACAGCTTGGGCACAGGGCACACGTTAATATTCCGTAATGTTTACGTAATGAACTTGTAAATGAAAAACAAAGTCAATTGAAGCAGCTCCAGCAGGAAGCATACGCTGTGTGCCAAACGGTACCTCTGGAGTTCAAATGGACCGGTTGCACATGGCGGACATTCCTTGATGGAGCCGCTATAACTGATTTCGGAGAGTCTTTACATTACTAGGATTTATCTTGAAAAACTGCAACTGCACCCAGACCTCTCTGAACAGTAAAAGAGCTCTAGGTAGGTGTACAGGGTGGCCAACTAAGAATCCAGAGTTCGATACCTCTGTTGTCTTGAGAGATACAAAAAAAAGTTTCGCATTCAAATTGAAGTGATAACCGAGCTTAACATTTCAAAATTTCTTTGAAATACACAGGGTGTTCCGTAAAGTCACAGCACATCGAAGCTATGTTTTTTTCATCGGAACACCCTATATTTCATTTCATTTTTGAATTCTCCCTGAAGATCTGATTTCAACGACGTATCATACTTAGGGTCTAGCAGTGGAAGTTACTGACATATAGGGTGTGCAAAATCGAGATTTTCCAAGTTCAGAATTTTTTTCTGTCGAAACTGTTTATTATTCGTCAAAACGGTTTACATGTCCCCATCTCAACTTCTCACTCACTATCAATTGGTGTTCAATTGACATTTAATTGAAACAAATTAAAAATTAAGATTTTTTGACCACCTTGTATCAATTTCAATTGAACACCAATTGATAGTGAGTGGCACAATAGAACGAACAATAGAGCAATGTCAATGACGTCATATGACGTAAAATTGTCGGCCATTGAACAGCTGATGGGGGGACAAGCATACACATTTTCCATAAGAGTACATGTAACTTTCTTGCACATTTCCCACTAAAATACAATACCTGGAGCATTTATTTATTGACATGTATGTTGATTCATTCATCATGAATGCTGTGAGAAAAGTGAATGAGTCCAAAAAAGAGTTCAAATTGGTTTATTTGTCAATTTAAAATTACTGGATTCACTTGAGTTCAGCTCTAATATACCAAATATACCTGGTAATATACCTCAATAGATACTCATTTTGGAAGAAAATGAACACATTCTTCTCGCATAATATCTACAAGTTCAACAAAATCACCGATGGGTCAGTAATTATAAAATCAAAAGTCACACACAACTTTGTATGTCCCCCGATCAGCTGATAAAAACGACGAGTGCGCCATGTTGTGACGTCAGCTGACATTGCTCTATTCTAAGAAAACATGAAATTGAAAGTTATTTGCGAGGTTATTTGAATGATGATTCTATTTGAGGAATAAAAAAAAATAGCCCAATCGCGTATTCAATTTTATTGAGAATGTATCTGAGTAAGGACTTGGCGTTGAGGGGGAACGGCAAGCGCGCCCCCTTGCCTCCCCATACGGACACCCCTGATTCTGTGTACAGTGTGTCCAGTTTTCGATGCTTCTGTGTGATATCTCAGTTATCTTTCGAGATAGAACCTTGCGGTTTTCGCGTTCCTGTACCACTTTTCTGTGAAACTCAAGATGGCCTAATCAGATTTTGCATAACTGTTTGCGTTTATGAGATACAGGGCGATTTTGAAAATTTATACTTTTTGGACCCCCTCTATATTTACGAAGTTTCTCAGCGAAAATGTCGAATTGGAATCTTACCCCATACAGAATTTCGCGCAGAATTCAGTGGCGCACTCAATTTGTTTTTTTCTGGGTATGGTTTCGGAGATACGACTCAAACTTATGATTTTTCAAATGGAACACCCTGTATTTTATAAGCTCATAAAATTCCTCATTTTTTCTCTTCAAAATGATTTATCATGTATGTGTATGAAATTTTCAAAAATGCTCTGAAATCACTGAAACATTGAATTTTAATAGTGGGCTATGGATTTTTCTTATAAAAAAGTTCCAATTGAAGGAATATTCATTTTGATTTTTCCATAAAGAGGACAAAAACAATACCAACACTTATTAACTGAGAAAACACAAAAATTATGTACTTGATAGCAACAAATAAACAGTAATAAAAAGTTCATAGTGTAGAAAAAGCACCAGATTAAATATTTACAAATACAATTGAATTTCGCAATTATTCAATAACTTTTCCACTGAATTGTTCAAATTGATGTCCATTTCCCATAACACACAATTGACACACTTTCTCAATACGTCTTGATACAGTAAGAGTCACAAATATTTTGAAGACCTTCCTGCAACAACAGAGGCAGTTTTCCAGGAATTACAAAGACATCCTTTAATGATTTTGAATGCATTAAGACGTATTGAGAAAGCGTGTGAGGGAAAGTGGACATCAATTTGAACAATTCAATGAATAAGTTACTGATTAATTTCGAAATTCAATTGTCTTAGTGAATATTAAATCAGGTGCTTATTCTAGAATATGAACTTTTTATTACCATTCATTTGTTGCTATCAGGTACCTAATTTTTGTGTCATCTTAATTAACTAGTGTTGCGATTGTTTTTGTCCTTTTCATGGAAGAATCAAATGAAATATTCCTTCAATTGGAACTTTTTTGAAAGAAAAATCCATAGCCCACTATTAAAATTCAATGTTTTAGTGATTTTGGAGCATTTTTGAAAATTTTATACCTATTCATCATATTTCATTTTGATGGGAAAAAAATTAGGAATTTAATGAGCTTATAAAATACAGGGTGTTCCATTTGAAAAATCATATGTTTGAGTCGTATCTCCGAAACCATACCCAGAAAAAAAAATTTGAGTGCGCCACTGAATTCTGCGCAAAATTCTGTATGGGATAAGATTCCAATTTGACATTTTCGCTGAGAAACTTCGTAGATATAGACGGGGTCCAAAAAGTATAAATTTTCAAAATCGCCCTGTATCTCATAAACGCAAACAGTTATGCAAAATCTGATTAGGCCATCTTGAGTTTCACAGAAAAGTGGTACAGGACCGCGAAAACCGCAAGGTTCTATCTCGAAAGATAACTGAGATATCACGCAAAAGCATCGAAAACTGGACACACTGTACATATGTCGGACTTAGACTTGTATATCTCGGACTAACAAGTTGTATACCTAACTCGAAATCCTAAATTCTTCTACTTCCTCTCTCTCTCTCTTTCTCTCTCTCTCTCATGCTCTCCCATCCCTTTCTCACGACGACTGTATCATACTGCCGATCGGATTGAACCGCATAATCTTGGACAGCAGTATCCACAACACCGACGTCATCACGCACAACATGACACCGCCCCAGCCGAGATCCAGCGACCACGAGGTGGTGAAGCGGCGAGCCGGCAACAGCGCGCGGACGCCCTGCGCGTGCGCACCGCCCGCCGGTCCGACGACGCCGTCGACGGTGCCGAGGGCGGCGTCTTCGGAATGGGGGCGGCCGTGCAGACGCTTGAAGTGGATGATGGTGAGAGAGAAGAGGGCGAAAGAGGCTGCAAAAAGTTAGATTGAAAAATGCGAGGGGAAAACTGCGGTGAAATTCTGGTGTACAAACAACTGGAATTCCTTGGAATTCCCTGGATTTCCTTGGAATCCCTTGGAATTCCTTGGATTTCCTTGGAATTCCTTGGATTTTCTTGGAATTCCTTGGATTTTCTTGGAATTCCTTGGATTTCCTTGGAATTCCATGGAAGTAGTGGATCAGTCTTCATCAATCTCCCTGTGAGATATTATGGATGAAGTTAGTTGTCAATTCTGAAGTAAATAGGATAATAAAAGGATTTTTGGTTGATCCAACATTTGATAGTTTTACTATAAAATTGGTGACCCCGACTAGTTCTCGATATGGTTAATGTTACAAGATGTTACACTCTGTATATGGGTCCGGATGATTGATATTATGTTGTCATTAGTTGTCATTATAATATTGTATTTTGTCAGTCAAATACTGAATAAATAATACTTCTTAATATTGAATATCTGTTCATATAATATGGTGACAGCGTGAACTCAGGAAGAATAAAATCGCTCATATAAAATGTCAGCATTACAACCGCCGAAATCATTCGAACCAGATCTTGACCCAGCAGTGTCTTGGGAGAAATGGAAACAGAAGATTCGGAGATTATGGGTTAGAGATTTACAATACCCTAGAATTTACACAAGAAGGTGACGATTTGACGGTAGAAATAATATTAGAAGCTTTGAGTAATCATTTCAAACCTTACGCAAATGAAACATACACCAGATTCATATTTTTTTCGTGTAATCAGAAATCCGACCAGTCCATCGACGAATATGTTACGGAACTGAAGCAGAAGGCATCGGATTGTAACTTTAAGGATTTGAGAGATTCCCTTATCAGAGATAGAATAGTTTGTGGGATGCAAAATAATAATTTACGAGAAAGGTTACTTAGTGAGAAAGATCTATCACTAACGACATGTGTCAATATTTGTAGAGCCGATGAAAAATCTAGACAACAAGTCAAAATCATATCAAATGGAAAGTATAAGGAAGAATTCCCTTTCAATGAGAATCATAAAATAGATAAAGTTAATATATCTGGTACAGGAAGATTTCACAAAAACAATACAGATGCAAAGAAGAGAACATGCTTCAGATGCAATATGTCTCATGATTTCGGGAAGTGTACTGCCTGGGGAAAAGTCTGTGGAAAGTGTAAGAAATTCAATCATTTCGCAACGTGTTGTAAAGCTAGACAAGTGCGGCAAGTTGAAGAAGAAGATGATGATCAAGGAATCGAAGAGGTTCTGACTTTGGATACTATTGTAGAGGAAATGAATGTTTGCAAAATTAATAAGGAAATTTCAAAAGAATGGACACAGCTGTTGCGAGTATATAATATACTAGTTGATTTTAAGTTAGATACTGGTAGTCAAGCAAATATTTTACCATCCAGAATCTATAAAACGATTGATAATGCACCGGCTCTAAAAGCTACCACAACAAAACTCCTGGTATACAATAAAAACAAGTTAAATGTATTGGGGGTATGTGAATTACTGGTCTCTCATAATACAGTGTCAGAAAAACTTGGATTTTACATTTTAGAAGAAAATCTAGAACCAATTCTAGGATTGAAAGCGTGCGTTGCATTAAACTTGATAAAAAGAGTTTCATCAGTTTCTGATATGTGCGAAAATATCAAATCATCTTCCGAATTAATAGAAAAGTATGCTGATATATTTCAAGGTGTTGGTTGTATAAAAACACACTGCACAATCAGACTACAACAGAATTATGTACCAAGTATTGCTAGATGTCGTAAACTTCCTTTAGCCCTACATGAACCTGTCAAGAAAGCATTAGATCAAATGGAGAGAGATGGAATTGTTACAAGAGTTGAAGAAGCTACAGAATGGGTAAATGCAATGGTTGTTACACCGAAAAAAGATGGATCGGTTCGCTTGTGTATGGATCCTAGACCACTGAACAAGTATATTATACGACAAATAATTGAACTTCCTACATTTGAGACTATAATATCTCAAATAGGGCAAGCAAAATGGTTTTCAGTGCTAGATGCTTCATGTGCTTTTTGGCAGATACCTCTAGATGATAAGAGCTCTGATCTGTGTACTTTTATAACACCTTTTGCTAGATACAAATTTAACCGGTTACCTTATGGATTGTCAAATGCCCCAGAAATTTTTCAAAATTGCATCAATAATTTTATAAATGGGTTAGAGGGAACTCTAGCATATATGGACGACATTTTGATATATGGAAATGATATAGAAGAACACAACGAGAGATTAGAAAAATTGTTCTCCAAAGCAAGACAAGAAAATTTGAGATTCAAGAAAGAAAAACTACAATTAGCTTTGACAAAAGTTAGTTTCCTGGGACATACTATAACAAGTGATGGAATTAAGATATCTGAAGAGAAAGTCAGAGCAATAAAAAATATGAACAGGCCTACGAATGTGAAAGAATTACAATGTTTCTTAGGAATGGTGAATTATCTAAGCCGCTTCATCCCGAATATTTCAAGAATTACTGCCCCTTTGAGAGATTTACTGAAGAAAGATTCAGTTTGGATTTGGGAAGAAAGTGGTCCACAAGAGAAATCATTTAAAGACCTGAAGAATCTTATTATTACTGCTCCAGTTTTATGTTACTTTGATCCAAAGCTTCCGGTGACATTATCCACAGATGCCAGTCAGTATGGTTTGGGTGGTCACATCAGTCAAAATGAACATCCCATTGCTTACTGGTCTATGTCATTGAACAATGCCCAGCGAAATTATGCTCAAATTGAGAAAGAGTTGCTCAGTATAGTTTTGGCATGTGAACATTTTCATTACTATCTATATGGACGTCCTTTCATCGCAGTTACAGATCACAAGCCTCTATTGGGACTCATTAATAAACCAATTGACGCACTATCTCCTAGACTTCAGAGATTAGTAATACGATTGATGAAATATAGCTTCACTTTGACATTCTTGCCCGGAAAGGAGCTGTATATTCCAGATTCATTATCAAGAGCACCATTGAACGATGAAAAATCAACTGAGTTTGTTGATGACTTTAAAGTTAATGCGGTTCTTATTGTGAGTGATAAAAGATCTAATGAACTTTTAGAAAATACAAACAAAGATCCGGAATTGCAAGCTGTAAAAAATTATATACGCAATGGATGGCCTAATCGAATGTCATCTCTCAAAAGTGAAGCCAAACCCTATTATCAATACCGAGATGAAATACATGAACAAGATGGATTCCTTTTCAAAGGTAATAGATTGATCATTCCAAGATCAGATAGATTAGATATTTTAGATCGCATACACTCTACTCATCAAGGTATAATATCTTGCCAGAAACGTGCTCTAGATTCAGTGTTCTGGCCCTTTATAAATGAACAAATAGTAAATATGGTTTCATCTTGCTTGACTTGTTTACAATATTCAAGATCAAACTCAAAGCAACCACTCCATCAGCATCCTGTTCCTGCATTGCCTTGGCAAAAAGTTGGAATTGATTTTGCTCAGGTAGGAGCCAGAAAGTTTTTGGTTGTTTGTGATTATCACTCAAAATTCATCGAACTGATTCAAATGTCGAAGAAAGATGCTTCATCAACAACTGATGCATTATTGAGTGTATTCAAATCTCATGGATTACCCCAAACATTGATGTCAGACAATGGGCCACCGTTTGATTCAATGTTCTTCAGAGATTTTTGCGTGAAATATGATATCATACATATAACGTCAAGTCCACGTTACAGTCAATCGAATGGGTTGGTCGAAAGACATATAGAAACTGTTAAGGGATTACTCATAAAAAATCCACTCAAACACCCTTATGAAATTATTATGGAATATAATAGTACATCGAAGCAGAACTTACCTTCTCCATCAGAAATGTTAATGGGAAGGAAATTCAGAACACTCTTGCCATGCTCAGAAAATATACTCAGGCCTAAATTTGATATTGGAAAGAATTTGGAGATTCTGAACGCCAATCAACAGCGCGCAGATCGATACTACAACATTGGTAAAAAACCTCTTACTCCATTGGTTAGCAAACAACCTGTGGTTATTCAACAAGACACTCGAAAATGGATTCCCGGTAAAGTTCTCAGAGAAGAGAACTGCCCTGACAGTTATATTGTGCAGTCTAATAATGGTGGAGCCTATAGAAGGAATCGAATCCACTTACGACCTATACCTTCTACTTCATATACTGGACCCTCTGCAATAACTTCGAATACTCATACCAGGACTATTGACTCCTCGAATTATCCAAGTTCATCTACTCAAACAGCAAATGCTTACTCAGATCAGGAGATTAATCGACCAGTAATTCCAAGTCAGGAAAGAGTTTCACAATTTGAAGAGGATCGAAATCGAGCCTCCACAACTAGTGAAGATTCCAAATTCGATCGTTCTAACCCTACAAATGTTGATCCTCAGCCATGCTCTTCCAATCATTCAAGCATTGATACTCAAACAAGTTCCAATGGTTCTATTGATTCGGAATGTTTCGAAAGATCATCGAAGGGTCGAATATTGAGGAAACCAGTGAGATACAAGGACTTTGTTTAGTTCCACCCAGATTTCATTTTTAGGGGGACATGTTACAAGATGTTACACTCTGTATATGGGTCCGGATGATTGATATTATGTTGTCATTAGTTGTCATTATAATATTGTATTTTGTCAGTCAAATACTGAATAAATAATACTTCTTAATATTGAATATCTGTTCATATAATAGTTAAGACGTCGATAAATGATTTCACCTCTGAAGGATTGTACATCGCACTCAAAAAACTTGGACTTGATGTTAGTGGAACGAAGACTGACTAATTGATTCGATTAGAAAAAGGAACGTTTGATAGTTTCACTTTAGATTTAAATGGAATTCCTTGGATTTTCTTGCATTTCTCTGGAATTCTTTGGATTTCCTTGGAACTCCTTGAATTTCCTTGGAATTTCTGGGATTTCCTTGGAATTCCTTGGATTTCCTTGGAATTCCTTGGATTTCCTTGGAATTCCATGGAATTCTCTGGAATTCCTTGGGTGAAATGTGGTATATTCCTGGGCTACAAACAACTGGAATTCCTTGAAATTTCTTGGATCTCGTTAGGATTTCTTGGATTTCCTTGAAATTCCTTGGAATTCTCTGGATTTCCTTGGAATTTTTTGAGTGAAGTGCGGTATAATTCTGGTGTACAAACAACTGGAATTCCTTGGAATTCCTTGTGAAATTGAAGTTTGGTGTACACAATTTTTACCGCGGTTCATCCCTCGACAAAATGTCATGCCGCAATATTCAAAAACTCTAAGAAACAGTGAAAAATACATTCACGATATTCAAAATACACGTCGACGAATTACAGTACTTACTATTTACCATCATGATGATTTACGGTTATGCTATATTACCATTCCGACGAAATACGATTGATAGAGATTACTGTCGCTACAAGATACAGTTCTGATAAATTGTCTTTCTTCTGATGAATTACGGTTTGATGTTTTACGTTCGTACAGAATAGATTCCTTTATTTCACTACACGAGAAATCACATTATGTTTTTCATTTCGACGAATTAATTCTTCGTTCAATTACGGTTCCGTTTTGATAGAAATTAACAAAAAACCGCTTGAAGTGGATGATGGTGAGGGAGAAGAGGGCGAAAGAGGCTGCAAAAAGTCAGATTACAAAATTTCATGACGCAATATTCAAAAAACCTAAGAAACGGTGAAACATACATTCACGATACTCAAAATACACTTCGACGAATCACAGTACTGACTATCTACCATCATGATGATTTACGGTTATGCCATATTACCATTCCGACAAAATACGATTCTGACAGATTATTGTCGCGACACAATACGGTTCTGATGAATTGTCATTCTGATAAAATACGGTGTTGCTGAAATACCGTCCCGTCAGTATACGATTCTGATCAATTACCACTTATGAAATACGATATGATTTGTATTCTGTCGGGACACTACAACATGGTAATCGTATTCTAACGGCACTGTAAAGCATCAGAACTGTATTTTATAAAAACCTTAGTTCATCCGAACCGTAATTCATAGGAATCGTATTGTAGCAGAACGAAATTCCGTCAGAATGGTTCTTTATCGAAATCCTAAAGAATCACATATTAGAGCATAGTATCGACATAGTAATGAAACATTCTGGAATACGGTTCTGATGAAAATCGGTTCTATTAGAACTCGGTTCCGATGGAATACTGTTCCGATGGAATACAGTTCCTATGAAACACGGCTTTGATGAAATACGATTCCCATATTTTACTGTCACGATGAATTACGTTTTTGATGAATTACTGTTTTGATAGAATTCTGTATATTTCTGTATGTTGCATGCGTTTTGTGTTCCAATACCGCTTTCTATAATTTTTTTTTCTTTACCTGCCAACAAATACATGACCCCAGTAACCAAAACGGCACTGAGCTGGTGCTGGAAGACTCCAAAAGCTCCCACTAAGGCGGCCGTGCCGAGAATGATAAGGCATACGAGAGCGCACGATATCGACAGATTCTGCATCCCTGGAAAACAATATTATTTGTATTCATAAAAGAGCTTCATTCCGGATCATCCGTTTCCAGACGAATAGGACCGCATTATAAAATGTGTAGCGTTCCTTATAGCATTCAATTTTTGTCACGAAAATTATTATGTCACATTTTCTGTTTTCGCGAACGTTTTTTGTGAAACTCACGATGCCGTATACAACATTTTCATATCCTGCTTCGTTCTTGAGATATAGAGCGAAATTGGAAATGGTGCATTTTGAGACCTCCCTGTATCTTATCTACAGTGTCATTCATAAAGTCGGCATCATATGGGAAAAACTTTTATTAATGTCTTATTTTGGAATTCGAGTTGGACGTTGAGTTTTGCTTCAAAAAAGATAAAAAATGGCCTACTCAATCGGGATCACGTGACTTTCGCAACATGTCAAAAGTGAAATTTTTTCAAATTGATCGCTGAAAGTAGGCCTATTTGTGCGAATATCGAAAAAGTTTACTTAAAAAAGTTGTTTATATTTCAATTTTACACATGCATCTCGAATTTGATCCTTCTATTGCAACTTTTAGATTTTCGTTTTTTTTTTAATTTTTCAAAATTTTCTGTAATATTTGAAGAATTGTCAATTTCACGAAACTACTTCATACCAGTAGCTTTTTCATGCTTCTTACTTTCAATTACTTATTATCACTGATTATGGACAGAAATATGATTTTCTTCAGAAAATGATTATACCCGCTTCCAAATTCTGTTATGTTTGATGCAAAGTTGATATATATCGTCAAGCATTTAGAAACGAAATTCATTTAAACTGATCTTTTCGGTACTGAAAAAATAAATTCAAATGAATTTCGTTTCTAAATGCTTGACTCAAACATAACAGCATATGTTTGCATCAAACATAACAGCATATGTTTGCATCAAACATAACAGAATTTTGAAGCGGAGATTATCATTTTCTAAAGAAAATCATATTTTTGTCGATAATTAGTGATAATTAGTAATTGAAAGTTAGTAGCATGATGGAGCTTTTGGTATGAAGTAGTTTTATCGAATTTACAATTTTTCTAAGATTACAGAAATTTCGAAATTTTTTAAAAAATATCAAATCTAAAAAATAAAAAAGATAAAATCCGAGTGACATAATGTAAAATTGAAATAGAAACAACTTTTTCAAGTAAACTTTTTCGAAATTCGAAAAAATAAGCCTAGTTTCAGTGATTAATTTGAAAAAATGTCACTTTTTATATGTAGCGAAAGTCACGTGACCCCGATTGAGTAGGCCATTTTTCATCTTTTTTGAAGCAAAACTTGACGTCCAACTCCGATTAACTTGAAATTTGGCAAGTGTTCATAATTTCGGTGACAATACATTATGGAATTTTTGTTGAAATTAAAAAAAATGGCTGCTCCAAGATGGCGGACAAGATTTGGTCCTATTCCATTCAAAATTGGTAAGTGGGGGTTTTTGAGGTCGGAGATCATGATTTTTCTGTTGAAATTCATAAATTCAAGATGGCGGCTTCCAAATATTTTTTTGTTTTTGTATAAATGACGATAACTCCGTTGTTATCAACACAAAACTATTACTGCGACACATCATCTGTGAGAGAAAAAAAGTTATTTGTAACTAAGTCATAGTGAGCTATGACCTACATTTGAAAAACTAAAGTTGGTGCTGATATCTCAAATTCTAGAAGAGTTGGTATAAATTTCATATATTTTTTCGAAATCACTTTGAAAAACTGCCATGAGAATGTGAAATTCCTATTTGAATATTTTCATAAATAAAGAAGTTACGGAGGAGACATGAAAATGATCAAAATCTGTTTTTTGCGTATAAAACAAAAACGAATAGATTTTTTCAAAATATTTTTTCACATTATAGTTGGCCTTGACAAACTCCACATTTGGTGTCATTTAACCGACCTCGTATCTCTCACCGTTAAAAAGATACCCATGGTGAGCATGGTAAGTGGGACACACTGTAGATGCAAGAATTACTTGGTACTTACATACATAGAAATGAAAAAAGTACACATACAAATAGTATAGTTAATAACAGTGCAAACAGGGAAATATGCTCCATGATCAGAAAAACAATTGATTTAGAAATATTAAGGGACAAAGTGAAAAAACATGAAAAAACTTACTGTCACTGTGGAATGATTATGTTATAAATTTATTATGTTATGAATTTATCGGTTAAGGGTCGGGTTCATATTTTACAAGGGCCCATTTTGAGGTTTCATGTATGAACTTATAATCTCCAAAAATTGAAAAAAAAATTCAACACCTACCTCCTCGCCCTATCCTCCCTAGCTACGCACGATGTTCTTCGAACATTACAGGCATTTCCTTTTGTGCGCACCAAGCGATAAAAAAAATACCGCATATTATTCGACCTACTTCAGGAAATTGCAATTCTGAATCCTGAGAAAACGTGATTTGTATTCAGTAGGCATCAGCATGAGCTCCAATTGAGCCATCTGCTTCCAGACAGATTGGACGTATAGATGGAAACATTGCGTTTGATATTGTTTTCGATTCTGTCTTGACAAAAATAATGTACAGTTCGACTCATAAAAAATGTATGATTTGTTTGAATCGTATAAAAAAATCTGATCGAATTATTTCAAATAAATCGACAGTTTCAACATTCTTAACATGAATCTAGGTCCCCTACTTTTCAATATTTATATAAATGACATCTCTGAATGTTTCAAATTCTCGTATTTCCTTATGTATGCTGATAATCTTGAAATATTTCATACAGTTTCACACTTGATCTATTCTCAGAGTACTGCAGACATTTTCCTGAATCTCAACAAATCCCATCAGACAACTTTTAGTAGAAACTCTAATTTAATTACTCATAATTATACCATGCAGGATCATAATCTCCACATCTGTAGTGAAATGAAGGAATTGGGAATTATTTTCGATTAAAAAATGACTCAATAATAGTTATTTGTTTAACTAGGCAGCAAAGTAGTAGATTGACTGCCGTGGCTGAATTCATAGCCGAGCGTAGCGAGGCTAGGAATCCAGCTAAGGCAGTCAATCTACTTTGCTGCCGAGTTGAACATATAATTTTTTCTACGATTGTTCATAATGATATGGGAGAATATTGTATTTGCGAATTAATACAATTCTCACAATCTCTTTATTCTTCCTGTATAGTGTTCAAATAAAATAAAATTTGATAGAAATCGCAGTTGTTGGTTTGACAATTCATGAAATTTCTGACAGTTGCGCGAAAAAATATCGGTATATTTAAATTATCATATAATGGACAGTGATAGCGACCTGGAAGTATACTTATATCTCCATTAATGAGGGATGGTGGCAAAAAATATAGAGTTGAATTTGTTGCCGGAGAAGTCTCGGATGGAATATGAAGGAAATTATAAACGATTTATGGATTTTCAATTTTGCTGATACATATCAAGGCAGCAAAGTACCCACTTTGCTGCCTAGGCAGGAAAAGTAATACTTTGCTGATCGATATGTGTCAGCAAAATTAATATTTGCTGCCAATCGGAGGAAAACATATTTCTTACATTTCTAAAGGAGCGAACAGAATGCTAGGTTTCATTTTAAGAACAACTTATCTTTTCGAAGATTAAAATATCTGGCGTACTCTTTTTATGTCATACGTACGTGAATAGTCTGCTAGGTTTCGACTAAACCATATGGAATCCCTACTATACAGTGTGTCCCACTTACGATGCTCACCATGCTCACCATGGGTATCTTTTTAACGGTGAGAGATACGAGGTCGGTTAAATGACACCAAATGTGGAGTTTGTCAAGGCCAACTATAATGTGTGAAAATATTTTGATAAAATCTATTCGTTTTTGTTTTATACGCAAAAACCAGATTTTGATCATTTTCATGTCTCCTCCGTAACTTCTTTATTTATGAAAATATTCAAATGGGAATTTCACATTCTCATGGCAGTTTTTCAAAGTGATTTCGAAAAAAATATGAAATTTATACCAACTCTTCTAGAATTTGATATATCAGCACCAACTTCAGTTTTTCAAATATAGGGCATAGCCGTTACAGCTCACTATGACTTAGTTACAAATAACTTTTTTTTTCTCTTACAGATGATGTGTCGCAGTAATAGTTTTGTGTTGATAACAACGGAGTTATCGTCATTTATACAAAAACAAAAATTATTTGGAAGCCGCCATCTTGAATTTATAAATATTAACAAAAAATCATGATCTCCGACCTCAAAAACCCCCACTTACCAATTTCGAATGGAATCGTACCAAATATTGTCCGCCATCTCGGAGCAGCCATTTTTTTTTGATTTCAACAAAAATTCCATAAGAGAAAAAAAGTTATTTGTAACTAAGTTATAGTGAGCTATGCCCTACATTTGAAAAACTAAAGTTGGTGCTGATATCTCAAATTCTAGAAGAGTTGGTATAAATTTCATATTCAAGATGAAAACCTTCGAAAATAACTCATGATATTGAGGAATCTAAGATAGGAACATAATTTTTCGAAGACAGCTATTCGTACAGAAACTTTCTGTCTTCTATTTTCGCCATGTACCTATCACATGATATTTCCATTTGGAATAATAAAACTAAAATTGTTCCTCTTGTACGATGATCCACAGGGCTATCAGTCTATTTTTTCATAAATATTTCACTTAGTAGGCGGAGTACCTAAGATATGTTACCAGATCTAGTAACCCAACCTAAGATATGTTACTAGATCTAGTAACCTAACCTGAGATATGTTACTAGATCTAGTAACCCAACCTAAGATATGTTACCAGATCTAGTAACCCAACCTAAGATATGTTACCAGATCTAGTAACCTAACCTAAGATATGTTACTAGATCTAGTAACCTAACCTAAGATATGTTACCAGATCTAGTAACCCAACCTAAGATATGTTACCAGATCTAGTAACCTAACCTAAGATATGTACTAGATCTGGTAACCTAACCTAAGATATGTTACTAGATCTGGTAACCTAACCTAAGATATGTTACCAGATCTAGTAACCCAACCTAAGATATGTTACCAGATCTAGTAACCCAACCTAAGATATGTTACCAGATCTAGTAACCTAACCTAAGATATGTTACTAGATCTAGTAACCTAACTTGAGATATGTTACTAGATCTAGTAACCTAACCTAAGATATGTTACCAGATCTAGTAACCCAACCTAAGATATGTTACCAGATCTAGTAACCTAACCTAAGATATGTTACCAGATCTAGTAACCCAACCTAAGATATGTTACCAGATCTAGTAACCCAACCTAAGATATGTTACCAGATCTAGTAACCTAACCTAAGATATGTTACTAGATCTAGTAACTTAACCTAAGATATGTTACCAGATCTAGTAACCCAACCTAAGATATGTTACCAGATCTAGTAACCTAACCTAAGATATGTTACTAGATCTGGTAACCTAACCTAAGATATGTTACTAGATCTGGTAACCCAACCTAAGATATGTTACCAGATCTAGTAACCCAACCAAAGATTTGTTACCAGATCTAGTAACCTAACCTAAGATATGTTACTAGATCTAGTAACCTAACCTGAGATATGTTACTAGATCTAGTAACCTAACCTAAGATATGTTACCAGATCTAGTAACCCAACCTAAGATATGTTACTAGATCTGGTAACCCAACCTAAGATATGTTACTAGATCTAGTAACCCAACCTAAATGTATTCAAGAAACGAAAAAGTCGATATGTTTTCAATATGCAATTTCAATCAACACACAAATGAAGAAGAAAAATTATTGATGCAATCGATTAACTGTCAAACACATAAAACAGTTTGTGTAGGTACTCCGCCTACTAAGTGAAATATTTATGAAAAAATAGACTGATAGCCCTGTGGATCATGTGATAGGTACATGGCGAAAATAAAAGACAGATAGTTTTTGTACGAGTAGCTGAATTCGAAAAAATATGTTCCTATCTTAGATTCCTCAATATCATGAGTTATTTTCGAAGGTTTTCATCTAGACTCAAACAAGCTATTGAATCTGCATTCATTGATCAGAATATCGAAACATTTTGAATAATATCGGTTTACTAATGATATTTGAATTTCAAAGCCTACCAAGTGTCGATATACCATGGAATTCATGTCACAGCCAACTTATTCTTTTTGAATAAAAAGCAATTCAACAGCGAATCAAGAAATAAATGCCACTTTGAGATACATGGTTGGATAGAGAATTTTAAGGCGAAAAAGATAGACTGAAGAAATGTACAGGGTGACATTAAAAAAAAAAGTTGGGGTCACTTCCGGTCAAACAGGTGGTTGAAAATAAATTGTCGTGAAGTTCGTAAAGTGTGCTACCAGCCATCTTGAATTTATAAATATTAACAAAAAAATCATGATCTCCGACCTCAAAAACCCCCACTTACCAATTTTGAATGGAATCGTACCAAATATTGTCCGCCATCTCGGAGCAGCCATTTTTTTTGATTTCAACAAAAATTCCATAAGAGAAAAAAAGTTATTTGTAACTAAGTTATAGTGAGCTATGCCCTACATTTGAAAAACTAAAGTTGGTGCTGATATCTCAAATTCTAGAAGAGTTGGTATAAATTTCATATTTTTTTCGAAATCACTTTGAAAAACTGCCATGAGAATGTGAAATTCCTATTTGAATATTTTCATAAATAAAGAAGTTACGGAGGAGACATGAAAATGATCAAAATCTGTGTTTTGCGTATAAAACAAAAACGAATAGATTTCATCGAAATATTTTTTCACATTATAGTTGGCCTTGACAAACTCCACATTTGGTGTCATTTAACCGACCTCGTATCTCTCACCGTGAAAAAGATACCCATGGTGAGCATGGTAAATGGGACACACTGTATAATATGCACGAAACAAATAGAAAGTATTTAGAACAAATTCAAAACACGCCACAAAATCACTTTGTAATTCGAAAACTTAATTTGATTAGTCTTGCTGACAGAAGAGCTGTTGCCGATATCAAATTCTCTTTCAAAATGATAAATGAGATCATTCATTCCTCATCTATAAATAACTTGATCCATTACAATGTTCCAAAATATTCAACTCGCCATTATAACTTCTTCCATACATCCATACCAAACACGAATTACTATCTTAACTTCCCTTTACATCGATGCATGAAAAGTTATAGATCCATTTCAAACATAAAGAGATTGATATTTTTCCGATTCTTTAACATTCTTTGTGAACAAACTCAAGAAACATTTTGTTTCAGCATCCAATGGATGATATGTTGAAAAAATTTCTTTTTCCTATAAAATATATAAAATCTTTGCACTGTATAATGGAATTGACATACTTAGTATACTACTACAGTATAGTGAATACAGTCTTTGGGTTCGTCCTGTTTGTATTCCTGTGTGAAAAAAAAAATTAATATAAAAATAGTTATTTAGACACCAAGGTAGTAATAGTATATTATGTAACATAGGTTATAAACGTCCTTTTAGTAACGAGTATTTTAAGCACGAGCAGAGCGGACCCAGTGTTTAATAAACGAGTGTCTAGAAGAGTTTGTAAACGCGTTACATACTATGATTTTTCTACGAACTCCGAAAATTACATTAACATACCTGCTATTCCTGCTAACCTACAAGATAATTCGAAAGGAATGGGAATTGAGAACATAATACATGCAACTGCATGCAACCAGCGAGACACGTATAAGTGATATTGGTTGTAGATGTGTCCAGTCCATTGCTCACTAACCTTTGTTTCACGTTTATTGTCATGCTTAGCGCAGAATAAATAAATTGTTCTCAAAGATTGATGCTTCATTTTTACACTTTTTGGAGATATGCAAGTACCAAAACATTCTCTTCCATTTCACTTTCGTCTACATTTCGCATATATTTTTAATGAAGAATTCTGTTACAAACGAAAATTGTTCGAATAATTCTGATACAAAATTTGAAAATAACAGTTGAGAGTTAATACAATTGACATGCCAGACATGTCTCAAATTACTGAAGCTGTGTTTAATGAATTTTGTTGCCATGGTAATGTGTTTGAGAAATCGTGTTGCCATGGTAATGTGTTTAATATTTTGAATCCGTGATTAATCGATCATTTAGCGTGGTACATATCCTTACCTACGCTTTACCTACGCTAAATGCCATTTTAGTTATGTGAGTAGAAAAAGAATATTATTATTACTCAGGGACCAAGATTATATCCCAAGGCTTCAGCCGAGTTGTATAAGGTCCTATGGTAATTACTACCAAGGTGTATATTGCATTTTTTCATCACCAGCAATATATTTCTATCAATATAGTTCTGTGAAACTGAAATATGAACCTATACTGTCAATATGAAAGCACATCTTTTCAATTCTGATTAAAATCTAGTAGCCATGACCATAACAGCTTATGGCAAGTCGTTATTGATGAATACCTAGTAGATTCGAGTGCCATTCCTGCAAATCTCGCATCAGAACAGCGAATTCTGGTTAATTATAACAGAGGTGGTTATGTCTTCATTTCCTAGTGGTTTATAAAATGACGAAAACTACCTTGGTTGAAGAAAATACACTTTATGGCTTGAAAAGGAGTAAATATTGGTAGGTTCAATAGACAGTGGTAAAAAAAGCTAATTACTTACTATGTTGCCAGTCAGTTTTCGGTTCGTAGCTCCTGATGCCGTCTATTCCACCTGATAAATAATTTACACAGGATCGTAAGGACGGAAATCCTACTCGGCCTAGCAGATTTATTTCTTCGTCTGAAAATAATTTGAAAAAACGTCTGATGAAACTCCTATTCAATATGAAATTTTCATCATTCAAAAAGCGGCAATTTAATCTTGCCATCCTAGTAATATTTCATAAGATTTTGTAGTCCCATGAGATTCAAAAACATTTATCACTATTTCTAGGTAACCTCAATGGCTTCGCTTAATATTCATGGTTTGTTTTTCAATGGCATGAATGAATGAAACACTGTCTTTCCATTTTCAAATTGAGACTTTATGATTTCCAAATGGCGAATAACCACATTCAATTTGGAATTGATTATAGTCATGAATCGTGAACGATGGTCAGGTTGAAATAAATAACACAAAGCAGTCAATATCATGAAAAAACTACACCGTTTTACCACTAACGAAACCGATTTTTTGAACGCTGCAATACGTGTTTCGGTAACTATGTTAGCATTTTCAGGAGATGAAAAAAAGATTTAAAAAATAGTTATTTATTATTACACAAGGGAAAAAAAGTATTGGATTTTAGCACCAGGTTGTGTAATGAAATTAAATCAATTAATGTTGATAAGGACAATTAAAGATCGATTTCGTGTCGACGAAAAAGTTGACAAAAAATTTAATTTGACTAATTTCTATTTAAATATGATCAATTAGTATTGTTTTTCCTGGAAAGATTGATTGATTCGGATTGATTGAATGTCTTTATTACCCCAAGAAGCATTATTGAATTAACCAATCAATCAATCAATCTGTGCTTCATTGTCCAAGATTATTTTTCTTATTGACAAAGCTTGAATGATATATATATATGTATATACAGGGTGTCCCACTAAGGTCGGCGAGGTACGATATCATGGAATCCATATACCTCAGGACTTCAAGGAAAAAAAAAAGGACCAAATCGGCCAAGAAAAATTGATAGAAAATATTTTCAAGTTCATGAAACGACCGCTAGGGGGCGCAATCTTTATGATAAAACTAAAAATTCAATTTTTATCGAAAATCATTGAATTAAGGTACGGATAAAGATATGGAATCTCGGTTTTCGCCAAAATGCAGCTAATTTAATGCATTTTGAATCTGCTGATCAAAATATGTAGCATTCCATTCGATTTTGTTTGAATAAATAAAAAAAATAGAATCTTTGATTTCTTCACCAGCTTCCCCCACCTTTATTTTTCAAGATATGAAAAAAAGTCCGGGAACAAACTGACGCGAATTTCAATGAACTCTGCATTTCCGTCATTGAAACAGTACCTTAATATAGTGGTTTTCGAAAAAAATTGAATTTTTAGTTTCATCATAAAGATTGCGCCCCCTAGCGGTCGTTTTATGAACTTGAAAATATTTTCTATCAATTTTTCTTGGCCGATTTAGTTCTTAATTTTTTTTCCTCGAAGTCCTGAGGTTTATGGTTTCCATGATATCGTACCTCGCCGACCTTAGTGGGACACCCTGTATATATATATTATTAGAATGATCCATTTCAGAAGAGAGAGAATATTTATCACAGAACATTACAAAATGAAATAGGTATAACTATACATAATGTATAGGAAGTTGTCAATTGAAATTCCTGTATGACACACAAAAACAATACATAAATGAAAACAATTACAGATACACATACATTATATACCTGACAATATAACTGAATGAATATATAAGTAATGTTGATATAAATTCACATATGGATCTTCTTCTTCTTCTTTCTCAATGACGTGACGTGAATATCGAATCTCAGTTTATTATCGATGTATGAGCCAAAGAATTTAGTACTAGCCTTGTTTTCAACTTGGATATTACTAATTATGAGATTTACATACTCGAATTTGAATGTTATGATGTTTGTTTTATTTGCATTGCAACACAGAGAATTAGTTTTGCACCATGATTTATAACTTCCTTTAATTAATGGGATATAACTTTTTTGAGGCTATCTACATTTTTCCCATGCCATAGGAGGGTAGTGTCATCAGCAAACAATGTGAATTTTCCTGTTATATTCGAATATGCCAAGTCATTCAGATATATCGAAAACAAGATTGGGCCCAGCACTGACCCCTGAGGAACTCCTGACCTGATTTCCGAATAGCTCGAGGTTTCACTTAATATCCTTACACGTTGTTTTCTACCAATAAGAATTGTGTGGTCGACGCAAGGCTTTTGAAAAATCACATAATACTGCTGCAACCACATCTCCTTCATTCAACAAATGATAAAAAATATTCGATAAATAATTCACCTGTCAAACTGACGCATAGTGTCCAAATCCCACCATGCATCGGAACCAAAAAAGCGAGCGTTCTCTCTTTGGAATCGGCCGTCGTCACTTTAGCCACGGTCTTGTCCAGCAGCCATTGCAGCCGAACCGTGTTGTTCGCCATATTGTCCAAGCTGGCACCGTTCCACGTCACTTCTTCCCAGTGATCCGTCATTATGGCGGCACACAACATCCCTGTGGCGCAAGTCGTCAATATCAGGGTGCCTGTCAAAAACCATCGTTTGAAATAAGTGGAACCGCTGACAATGATATCTCACCCCAGAACCACCTCTGGAAAATTGCATATCATTTGAATGAACTTTCCAGCCGTGATCATATTAGAGTCACTGGATGGTATTAGTTAGGGTCCCTTGATGCAAACTGACGTATTTGTCATCTAACAAGTGAGGTACCTACGTAGTTTTTTAAAGGTATCAGATTAGTATAGATGTAGTTTTCATTAGGTATTAGATTAGTATAGGGGTCAGATAATTTATACGACGCTATGAAAGCAGATGATATTTCATCATTGCTCATGTAAGATGGAAGTAGAGGCCATGGCACCATATCATGAGCATATTTTTATATTGAAACTATCATTGGACACCAAAGATGTGTATACGACGCTATGAAAGTTCAGAGAACTGGAGATTTTTCCCACAAACTACGTACTTAGCCCACTCGACTGTCTTGGTTTTTCCACACAAACTACGTACCTAGCCCACTCGACTGCCAATAGGGACTGAAAAAACAAAAACAAAAGAAAGTTGAAACTTTGCCAACATATTTCTCCTTTGTGGAAAATCAAGACAGTCGAGTGAGCTAGGTAAGTAGTTTATGGGAAAAAAGTGTGCTTTTTTTACTTCCTTTTGTTTTTTATTTCGTTTTCTATTGGCAAGTGATTATCTAGGAACTTGTAATTTTTTTAGTTTTTTCATCGTATCTCCCGAACTATTGAATTCAGAGAAAAATCAGGATTTTTTGTAGATTCTATCGAAAAGAATAATTTTGGTTCTATAACATTTTCAGATATTTCCAGTTGTTTTCGAGATATTTGGAATCATCTGAGAATACAATTTTCAACACTTTTGTTCCATCTTCCAATCAACAAAAGACAAAAATATTTCATGGTTCCGTGGAAGTCGATGATCTTCATCTATCGATAATTTTTTGTTTTTCAATATATCTTCATGGTACCCTATGGGTCGCTCAAATTTGTTTTTTCATATTTTTCACTTTATGTACTATTGGGTTTACAGAAATGATTTTGGGTAATAATTCGTAGGAAATGTTCCAGTGGATAACTTTGCACTCCTGATAATTTTCGATTTTTCCATTTGTTTTCGATATATATTGAATTGAAAGGATTTCAAATTTTGATGTTTTGATTTTCATTTGTTTTTCCATTTTTCGATGGATGCACGCAAAAATGGTTGAATAATAATTTGTTGCGTCATCAAAGAGGCATACGGTGCATTTTTCAAATTTGGATTTAGTCTATTGGTTCGGGAGATATGTCGTTTTAAAGCGAACCGTGTGTTTCGGAAAATCTCCTTGAAAAACGCACTTGGAATTTCCCGACCCTGCTCAATTTCAATAGGCTTCGTCTCTCCCTGATAGAGTTTTTTTTCACAAAAAATGAAATCGATCGGACCTCTTTTGCGATTTGTAGAGTGGTCACAAGAAACTTCCGGTGAAAAATGGAATGGAAATTTCCTTCATATTCTAATGACATAATATTGTTTTGAGTACAATAAGATGGCAAAATTTCAAGTCGATATGTCAAAGGGTTCCGGAGATATATCGATTTATGATTACCACAGAGTACAGACAGAGAGACAGACCACACACAAAAAACAAAGTTGCTCAAAATTCGATGGGGATCATTTTCTCCAAAGTAACTATACCTCTATCTCGCTTAGTTTCCGAGATAGCATTTTTGGCAAGGCCGTAGTATACTCCACTATAGGTATAGCGTCGTATAACAAGGTACGGACAGATCATAGCTCCTTTCTCTTTTATTCATCTATACCTTTTCAACTTCAATTTCGGAATCGGTAAGTTATATTTCGGAGAAACTAGTCCCGGTTTCAGAATTAGTTAGTTCGATTTCAGAAATGGTTAAATCAATTTCAGAATCGGTGGAATGAATTTCAGAAAATGTCCATTCAATTTCAGAAATGGTGAGTTGTATTTCAGAATTGGTAGTTTCAATTTCAGATAATAAATCCTTATATCTGTTTGAAATGTTCCTAATTGCAAAAGAGAAGATTGTTTACAGTGGATGAAACGGTGTTTGAGAGCGTACGTTCGAAATGGGCATCCTGCAGATACCATAGTGGTAGTTCTGGATAATGCACCTGCACATTCAAGAATAGAAGAAATATGCATGGAGAAAGAGTTTCAAGATGTTATATTTTGCAGATTGGCACCTTACACCCCTAAGTTGAACCCGATTGAAGATATATGGGTGTCTTCAAGTCAGAAGTGAAGAGCATTTTGCAAGAGCATCGCCATCGCCGAAAATCTCTAACTGCCATATTTTAGGAGATATTGGCTGAAAACCTATTTTCCTGGTCTTTTGGGGCCATTTTCTCCGCCATCGCACGCGTTTTCCAGTCAAACTCTGTCTCATGTTTAATGAGGTAACAAAAGCTACTTCCAACCGGAAGATGAAAATAGTGCGTAATTAATGTTAACTTTTTCCCTTTATTTATTGGACTTAATTCGAATATACGTGTATACAAAGAGTAACTCTACCAATCAGAAATTTAGAATTATTGGCATTTTCATTGTACTTATTTTATTCATATTGTTATATACATATCTTGAAGTTCCTTATACTACTGATAATTTTTATTGAGTTTAATGATTTTGTTGAGAATTTTGATTTAGTTTAATTTCATATTCATATTTTAAATGTGGGACGATAGGGCTATTGGCGAACACCCACTAAAAATAAGTAACTAAGCATAAACGTGTATATTGAAATGCGCAAAAAAATCATTGGTGGCGCTCACCTAAGAGGAAGAAAACGCTGGGATGGACGCTGCAATTCCAGCCGGCGTCGTCGTCGCCGCTGGCGTCGCTCTCCATAACGACGGCGTCGTAGTGGAGAAGGAGGAGATCGTAGTCGGGATCGAGCTTCAGCTTGACGGTCTGCCACAAGAACCGACACAAAAAGGCCGAAAAGGGAATCTTCTTGTCCAAAAGGGCGGAAAAGGTCTGACCCTGACGACTGCGCTGCTTGCTTATTTCTTGCTCTTTTCTTTAAGGAAACTGTGGACGGCGTACCTACACGGAAAAAAAGTTTTGTTGCACCAACAAAATAATTCTGGTCATCTTTATTTTGTTAAATTGAACACAATTTTGCGAAATCTACCAAATATTGGTACATTCCAAATAAGCGACTTGTTCAAAAAGACAAAATAATTTGATTGAAATATTGTCTTACTCGAACAAAAATTTCATTTCATTCAACAACATTTATAGTAAATTATATTTTTCTGATTCAACAATCATTTCATTGTGCCACCAATCAAAAATTTCTTCCTATTCGACAAAATTGAATTGATTATGACAACATTATATTTCGTTGATTCAACAAATCATTATCAAGAAATATGTTGCTATTTCAAACAGATTATTTCGTAAAACAGGACCCACAGATACATTATATAAAACAAATATTTTGTTGAATGATTATCTAGTTGCATTTTCGCCACCAGGTGGCATTCCTTCCCTTCCTACGCTCGTTTCGATTGGGGTATACATATACCTAGCTAGTAGATCCGTTTATATTAAGCTGTCCTAGAATTTCTAATGACGCTTAAACAAGATAATAATACTTTTACTACACTTGACATTTCTTCTTCTTCTTTTTGGTCTTCAACCTTACCACGTACTTCTCATAATTTTGTTACAAGGAGATTAGTTAATTAACCCATAGTTTCCTTTGCAATAATTTGTTATTTTGCCAAATAGTTTTCTGTACCTTATGATGATTTCGTCATGGCATTTAGTTTGTATAATTGTCACTGTCATTCAGTCTTGTCATGCTGTCACTGTCATTTGCTTACCTCGGCGATTCTTGGATTTCTGTCTTTCAATAGCCATTCAAGATGAAACTCAGTTGAGTGAATTCAAATATCTCAAAATTTTTTCGTGCCAATGTTGAACCTCATGATTATAAGGTTCTTTTGGCTGTTCAGCCCAAGGTTCAGCCGTTATAAAAATTTAATCACCCCCTTACCGGACTGATTATTTACGTTGATATAACCGCTTGATTTTTATTTGATGAATTTGTAATCACCACATGGCCTAGGTATGTTTTTTTCCTCAGCAAACTTATTGTTCGTCTGTAATTTCATCTCTTACAGGTTCTTTATTCAATTTGTGTCTGAAGATGGCTGTTTAGCCGAAACTAGTCACACTAGCAATTGTGTAGTATAATTTGTGGTCGACCGACTTTGTGTATTTTGTTTTTTTCTTTCAAGATAATAGTCTTGAATCATCTTTTTTCTTCATGTTCTGGTTCCCACGAAAAATGTGAGAACCAAGGGAAATAAGGTAGGAAACATATTTCTATTGTTCTAATCACACACTTGGATCTGTGCGTCATATTTAATGATGAAGAGCTTGAGTAGTAAAATATTTAGCTATTGAAAAATTTCTAAATTGGAGCTGTTCAGGTAGGTATTACAGTACCGGTCAGAGATATCTTGATCAGTTCTTGTACGTTCTACTCACCATCTATTAGGGCACTTTCACGTGAAAATTCTTCTTCTATTACCTATTTTCTCTATTGTCTATGCCAAAAAAGCTGCAAAGGCACAATACGAAAAAATCGGACCGAATCGAAATAGCTCTACGGCGATTGATTAATTGACCAGCGTTATATTATGTTCCTTATTCTACAATATTTTCTAATTTTCTGAAAGGAAATTCTCGGGCTAGGTGTGTTGTTGGAGTTGGCAAAGGATGTGCGTGACGAATCACGCCTTGCGCGTATAATTTTCACATTTCCCCGATAGCTTTTCGCCCAGTTTTTCCTGGACGACCTTCACGCGACCGGACTTTTCGCCTCACTGGAGGCCGCACTGTTTTTCCACGTTGCGATGTCAACGGAATAACAGGGCCGGAACACTGTAAGTTCCAATATTGATGTCCCAATTTCTAGAGTCACTGGATGGTATTAGTTAGATGAGAATTCGGACACAGAAAGGACAACTGTTAGTGTTTTTGAATTTTTAGATTTATTGCATTGTGACAACAACATCATAGTCGTTTCGCGTTTTTTCACTTGTAATACCACTAGAGGTCAAATTATTTCCGGACATTTTTTCGAGCTCATGGATATTTTGAGAATTATTCCGAGTCGAAACTAGCCTCCAGTTAGATTTCGATATTACAATTTCGGGTTAATTCAAGTTAATTTTGAGTTGTAGGAAGAAATTAGCACACGGAAAAAAAGGAATTGTTGAATCAAGCAAAATTTAATTGAATAGAGCGAATAAAAGTGTCATATATGCACGACAAAATATAATCTTGAAATGAGTAAATCTATATCTTGTTTCAGAGCGAATTCGAAGTTTGAATCAAGTAAATATGTCTTACATGAACTCTGGATCTTCTTCGATCAAGCACATCCATGAATTGTTTATGAAGAGATATTGAATTGGCTCGAACAATCATTTTGTTTGATTCAAAATAATAAGACATCGATTCAATCAAATATTTAGTTGATTCAACGAAATATTTGGTTGATTCAAAGAAATATTTGGTTGATTCAATAAAATATTTGGTTGATTCAATTGAATATTTGGTTAATTCAATGAGATATTTTGTTGATTCGCGAGAAACTATATATCCATTCGACAAATTGTTTTGTTGAACCAAATTCAATATTCGGAAATTTTCTGATATTTCACATCAATAGAATAAACAAAACTAGGAAACTTGTATACTCCCAGCATAGATCTCAAGTCTTTACTTCTCCTTAGCTGATGGAAAACTATTTCGGATTGCTAATCATCCTGAGTTCGATTCATCCAGCTGATATTTCAAACACGAAGAATCAGGCTTCACGTATATAATGAATTCGAGGGAGGCATAGACGATGCGAAATGATCGCCATCTAGAGGTTAAAATTCAAGTTGGTGTAGAATGAACAAAATATTTCATTAATTTTACATATTTCGTTGCTCTATTCAAGCAAATGATCCGTTCGAAACGAATTCATTGCTACATCGGATTATCGGAATAAGAGAACTTGAATGTTGTTTCAAAGATATAATCTCATCAAAATGATCATTGTTTTATCAAATCAACGACATTTTTATAGTTGAATCAACATCGGCATTATTTTGGATCGACATAATTTGTTTTTGAAGAAACCATATATTTTGTTGATGGAATTGATATTATCGGATATTATACTGTTGATTCAATTAGCCTACATTCTTGATTTGAACAAGCTGCTTCTGCTTCTGTATCTGGTTGATTCAACAAAAAACTGCTCAGTCCAACAAAAAATATTCAAGCATAAATAATTTGTTGATGCAACAATTCCTTTTTTTCCGTGCATCATTCCAATGAGTCATAATTCCGACCGGACACTACTATTGTTCTGTTGTTCGAGTTTTACATAAAAACTACCGTTCATTCAGGCTGATTTTCGAGTGGTGCAGAAATTAGCATGTCCCAGTTAATCGTGAAACTAATGGAATACTTTGGAGTTCATAGTAAATTGAATGTGATCAGCAGTGAATTACCAATCACCTACTTTATAGTCATTTAAGATCATTGCGAACTTTGCACCATTTTGAACATAAGATCAGTTCAAGGATTTTATAGAGATCTGGCAACATCGGAGTGATTCCCAGCTGTCCGAACTCCAACCAATCAATTTTTTTTATGTTCTGGTTCCCACGGAAAGGGATATCCTGTAATGTTCAGAGAACATCGTGAGAACCAAAAGAAATAAGGTATGCAAGGGTGTTCTTCTCAAATTTCTGGAGGTTATATGCCTCGGGAAACACCTCCTTTGGCAATGTGTTCCAGAGCCCCGCTGTTCGTTGGATGAACGAGTCTTTGGAAAGAGATGTTCTGCAAGTCTCCAAAGTGACCACGAAGGGGTGCGAAGCCTCAACTCGACGGGTTAATCTCGCGAGGACTGCCAAGGGAGGAACAATTGGTGATATTTCAGAAGAGCATCGTCCATGAAAATATCTATAAAATAGAACCTTATTGCCAACTTTTCTACAGTGTTCCAGAGAAGTGAGTGAGTTTGTGAGCGAGGCATCAATCACGAGGCGAATTGCCCTTTTTTGGAAAAAAACCGACGGTTTCAGGGTATGTTTGTGTGCTGCATTCCAGATATGGGAACAGTATTCCAGGACAGGTCGGATCTGTGCCTTATAGATCATAAGCAGCTGACTGGAAGTGAAATAGCTCCTGGCCCGAAATGAAAACCAAGTTTTCAAATTGATCTCACGTGATTTTCCCAAGAAAGGTTATTGCTGATAGTAATACCAAGCACCGAAATGGATGTCTTCAAAGGTACGGTGACTCCTGACAAGGTTATGTTGGGCACAGTGAGATCGGCTTTTCTAGAGAAAAGGCATGTTTGTGTTTTGTTTGCATTGAAATCTACCAAGTTAATGGATCCCCATTCGAGAATTGTAGTCCATATTTATGTTGTCAACATTTCTCCCTCGTTCGTTTCTGATTTGCCTGGCTGGTATTGGAGCCCTGGAAGAGAAGACGATATGGAGGGAAATATCATCCGCGAAGCTGTGTACTGGACATGAAGTTGCTTCCAACAAATCGTTGATATGGAGTAGAAATAGTGTTGGTTCTAGAATTGATCCTTGCGGAACACCATCATTTATGATAAGATAGTCAGATGAAACTCCGTCGACCACTACATGGAGAGACCTGTTTGAGAGAAAACTAGCTAGCAGAGAACATAGCTGGGGAGGCAAGCCATAAGATGGAAGCTTGGCGAGGAGTCCGTGGTGCCAGACTCGATCGAATGCCTTGGAGATATCAAGTGCCACGGCTAAGGTTTCACCATATGTTTCAATAGATTGCTGCCATATATATGAGACGTGAGCGAGCAGGTCACCAGTTAATATCTGATGACGGAAGCCATATTGCCTATCGTTGATAATACCTGAATGTTCCAGGTATTTCATGAGCTCGATGGTGATAGCTTTCTCCATGATCTTTGAAATAATAGATAGCAGTGCGATCGGTCTGTTGTTGCTAGGTACGGTCTTTTTGCCTTTTTTAGGAACTGGTTGTACTCTTGCAATTGCAAATGACTAGAAAACACTGACATCACTGCTCAGTAGCGTTTGAATTCACAGGTATTGAAATAGCATTTTAAATATTAAATAATTCATTTCAAATTTTACGGTACTGGAAAGGCCCATCTGGAGTGTAAGCAGTTATCAGCTACGATTTCAAGTTATCAGTCGAAATTCACGAGATAATTGCCCACTTATTTTGTTTTTGGGCTATTTCAAGTTGATATCGATTCTGATGATCCTTGGCGCTTCATTTAAGGTGGATTCAGGCAGCAATCATTCAACAATTACTTCAGTAACATTTATCATTCAACAAGTAGCAATTAAAAGTTGAACTTCCTGTTTTCAATGAAGGTGTTTATGCAGACATCTAACAATTATCAATTAACAAGTAAGAAGTTGGCCTTAACTTTCTTACTTTGATTGAACCAGGTTTGCTTCTAGTGCGCAACTATATCGGGTGGTCACAAAAAAACCGGAAGTTTTTATTTTCCTCGTGGTTTTATCATTTCTCAACCGAATTCGCATTTCTTGGCGTCGTTTCATAGCTAAAGGGCTATAGAATACAGTGGAATAATTGAAAATTCTATAATGAACAAAAACAAAATGGCGGATTCTACCAAAGTATTGTCATTTACAAAAACCGCTGGAGAAAAAGAAAATCAGATTTTTTTCAACCTGTGCCGATGTCATCTTAGGCTATTCATTTCTGAAGAGAATGAGTACTCCAACATCAGAATCGAACAAATAGTCCAGTAGATACACTCATTTCCTTGGAATTTGTTATGGAGTAAATGTGCAATCTCGTATATTTATTATTTTGCTTCAGGCTTCATGAAAATTCAATCGAATTTGGATTTCTAAGAGTTATTTCTAAGATAAAGAACTGTAGTACATAATGGAACATTTGAAAATCCAATAATTGAAAGATACAAAATGGTGAAGAATCCAGAATTCTTGTGATTTTCAAAAATCTCTGGCGAATAAAAAAATGATTATTCTTCCAATCAGGACCGATACAATTTTAGATCATTGATTTCAAAAAAGAATGAGCACACATGATCATTTGAATCGAACAATTAGTCCAGGAGAAACACGTTCTTTTTGGCAAAGTGGTATGGAGTGAATGTGCGAATCCCGTGATATGAATTACTTTTAGTTTGCTTCTGGCTTTATCAGAATTCGATCGAATTTGGATTTCACTCCATAACACTTTGCCAAAAAGAACGTGTGTCTCCTGGACTAATTGTTCGATTCAGATGTTCGAGTGCTCATCCTTTTCAAAAATCAATGATCTAAAATTGTATCGGTCCTGATTGGAAGAATAAACATTTTTTTATTCGCCAGATTTTTGAAAATCACAAAAATTCCTGATTCTCCACCATTTTGTATCTTTCAATTATTGGATTTTCAAATGTTCCATTATGTACTACAGTTCTTTATCTTTGAAATAACTCTAAGAGATCCAAATTCGATTGAATTTTCATGAAGCCTGAAGCAAAATAATAATAATCGTTTATACGAGATTAGCACATTCACTCCATAACAAATTGCAAAGAAATGAGAGTATCTACTGGACTATTTGTTCGATTTCGATGTTCGAGTACTCATTCTCTTCAGAAATGGATAGCCTAAGATGACATCGGTACAGGTTGGAAAAAATCTGATTTTCTTTTTCTCCAGCGGTTTTTGTAAATGACAATACTTTGATAGAATCCGCCATTTTGTTTTTGTTCATTATGAAATTTTCAAATATTCCACTGTATACTATAGCCCTTTAGCTATGAAACGACGCCAAGAAATTCGAATTCGGTTGAGAAATGATGAAACCACGAGGAAAATAAAAACTTCCGGTTTTTTTGTGACCACTAGATGGCGGATTGGTTTCATCGACTGGTAGAGAAGGCATGGATTGGTCAGACCTGATATCTGACAAATATTATGAAATTTGTTTCAACATGAAACAATTGCAATCAACAGAATATATGTGAATAAAATTAACCTAGTCTCTTCCAGATCAGAAAACATTATGAAATTCGAAATTTCAGTACCTTATGTAAATTGTTAACAACGAATGTGTAAGGTTATTGCTTTGATAGTCCAGATTCAATTTGGTTTACATAATTGTCAATATTCTCATCACTTGTTAATTGATAATTGTTAATAATTGATAAATATAACTTGTTAAATGTTGCTGCATACATGACCTTTCGCATGTTGTGCCGCTCCGACCCTGTGTCGACGTCGATATGAGTGGAGCGCCGAGACGGCGGGAGACGCCATGTACGCCGGGTCAGTGCAGGTTATTCGGGTTTCTTGTGGATACCACGACTTACATTATCAATTGATTATATTATAATACAGATGTATTTTGATGTAACCGGTAAGATTTTCTGATAAGCAGCGCCATAGACATATTTATTGATCCATCACATCACGGTGGATAGGTCAACTTCATATTTCACGGTATAGTTACTTGAAGTGAAGCTTTGGAGACTGTGGTTGAATAACATATCTCAAAAATGTACCCAAACCACCATACTATTACTTAGAAGAGCCTTTAATGAGTGTTTCGACAACTAAGTTGACATCTTCAGTAGAATTGAAATGAAAATGATGATTAGCTGACTCTATAGTGATAGTGTATTTCCGGAATATTCTCCAGAAGTTAGCAAATTTCGAGCAGTCTCAAATAATCTGAAGTTGATGGGGTCACTTAACTACTAGTCACTATGGATTCGAAAATATGTTGGGAAAGTTTTGATTTATCAAACCGATTATATTTTTTGGTGCTGTTTCATGTAATATTGTCGACATGGATTTTAAAGCCCTATTCAATTTTACAAAAAATGAATAAGGCGCTCATTAGAAAAACAAAAGATTCATGGTGAATCTCTGAAAACATCGAAGATATCATATTTTACATCATTTTTGTCATTGCGCAAAACTTCAAATTTCTTTCTTGAATATTAACCAAGAAATTGAATGAAAACAAAATCAGTGATTCTCGGTTTTTTCAAAGATATTTCAGGAACGACTCAATTTGTTTCAGTTTGCGAAACGACATATTGAGGAAGTCTAAATAAGGTAACTTTAGTCTAATTTGATCGACTTTCTATCTTTCATGTTTCAAATTGTCGAGAATCTTCAAAAATGTTCTGGAAGGTTATTGAATGTTCCTAAATATTATAAGGGTGATCTTTCAAAATGTTTTGGAATGTTCCAAAATGTTTAGAATGTTCCAGAAAGTTATAGAATGTTTTTGAATCTCCAGGAATCTTTAATATAGTTCTCCAGAATGTTCGTAAATATACCAGAATATTGTAGATTGTTCTTGAATGCTCTAGAATGTTTTTTAATATGCTAGAAAAGCGGTTTTCAACCTGTGGTACATATACCAATTATTATTTGCGATGGTATACGAAAACTTACTCAAAACAGACCCAAAATCAACACCATATGAAATGAAACAAACACAAAGTTTTGCATGTGAAGTTCAATTGATCAATTTACCTAGATACATAATTTAGTTACGTGATACTCAAAATTATTTTTCAGTAAAGTTGAGAACCGCATCCCTAAATGCTCCGGAACATTCTGGACTGTTCCAGCAAATTAGAAACTGTTCTAAGACTGTCCCAGAAAGGTCTGGACCTTTCGATTCCGTCACATTCCGGAAAATGAGGATATAATATCGCTATTTTAGATATTCCAGATGGCAGACGTACTTGTAGACACCTCCATCAAACCCCTCAGAATGTTCGTAAATGTATTGTAGAATTTGTAGATAGTTCGATTGTTCCTGAATGCTCTGAAATGTTTTTCCTAAAATATTCTCAGATGTCCTTGAATCAACATTCTGGAAATGTTCAAGGAAATTTGAAACTGTTTTGTAATGTCCCTGAAAGGTCTGGACCTTCTAAAGAGACTTACGGTTTTATTACGTTCGAGAAGGTTGAGAATGTAACATAGTTTCTAAAAATACTGAGTGTTTCTTCTGCATTTCCAGATGGCCTAGTAGACACCTCCAACAAAACCACCTCGTATATTTGTAAATTTTTCAGTACATTGAAGATTGTTCCTAAATGCTCTAGAATATTTTTTTACTATTCTAGAATATCCTTTAATCCTCCTGAACATTCTGGAACGTTTCAGGATATCAGAAGTCCCAGTAATTTCTGCACCTTCTAAGAGACTTGAAGAATGTGGGAAATTTTCCAGAATATTGTAGATTGTTCCTAAACGCTTCAGAATATCCAAGAAACCTCTAGAATGTCCCAGAAAGATCTGTACCTTCCAAGGGACTTCCAGTATTGTTACATTCGAGAAAATTAAGAAAATATAACATGTTTTCTAAAAATACTGAGTGTTCCCTCTGCATTTCCAGATGGCCGACGTACTAGTAGACACCTCCAACAAGACTTTCCACAATTTTTTAGAATATTGTAGATATTTCCGGAATTCTCTAGAATGTTTTTTACTATTCTAGAATACCCTCAAATCCTCCAGAACATTCTGGATATCAGAAACTGTTTTAGAATGTCCCAGAAATGCCTGGATCTTCTAAGGGACATCCAGAATGTTAATAAATCTTCCAGAATATTGTAGAATGTTTCTGAATGCTCTAAAATATCCAAGAAACCTTTAGAATGTCCCAGAAAGATCTGTACCTTCCAAGGGACTTCCAGTACCGTTAAATTCGAGAAAATTGAGAATATAACATGTTTTTTAAAAATACTGAGTGCTTCTTCTGCATTCCCAGATGATCGACGTACTAGTAAACACCTCCAGCAACACCCTCCAGAATTTTTCAGAATATTGTAGATATTTCCGTAATGCTCTAGAATGTTTTTTACTATTCTAGAATATCCTTAAATCCTCCAAAACATTCTGGAACGTTCCAGGATATCAGAAACTATTTTAGAATGTCCCAGAAATGCCCGGATCTTCATTCACAATGTTCGTAAATGTTCCAGACTATTGTGGAATGTTTCTGAGTTCTCCTTAATTATCCAAGAAACCTCTAGAATGTCCCAGAGAGATCTGTACCTTCCAAGGGACTTCCAGTATCATTACATTCGAGAAAATTGAGAATATAACATGTTTTCTAAAAATACTGAGTGCTCCTTCTGCATTTCCAGATGGCCTACGTACTAGTAAACACCTCCAGCAACACCCTCCAGAATTTTTCAGAATATTGTAGATATTTCCGTAATGCTCTAGAATGTTTTTTACTATTCTAGAATATCAAACCATTTTAGAAAGTCCCAGAAATGCCCGGATCTTCTTTCAGAATGTTCCAGAATATTGTGGAATGTTTCTGAGTTCCCCTTAATTATCCAAGAAACCTCTAGAATGTCCCAGAAAGATCTGTACCTTCCATGGGACTTCCAGTACCGTTAAATTCGAGAAAATTGAGAATATAACATGTTTTCTGCATTTCCAGATGGCCGACGTTTCAGTAGACACCTCCAACATGACCCCCTCTGAGCTGCTCGCCCAAGGAGTGAAGGCGTTCGTCCTGCAGGACTTCGACGCCGCCGTCGCGGCGCTCAGCAAGGCCAGCGAGATCCTCGTCAGTGAACACGGCGGGGACGATCTGCACGAGTCCCTCGGCGAGGTGTACCTTTACTACGGCAAGGCCCTGCTAGGACTGTCCAGAGAGGAAAACGAGGCCCTAGGTGAGAACTTTTTCTTCCCACGAACATGAATTTTTGGGAAAATTCCACACCAGTAATGTTTAATCAACCAGATTGTTTTTTTTTTTGAGAAATCACCATCACCAATTTTTTTCTCGTTGGTACCAAAGAACTCGAAAATTTATATCTTACGACTAAAACGAGCGATCCTATGATTTCAAGCATTGAAATATGGGTCAAATTATACTAATAATAATAATAATAATAATAATAATAATAATAATAATGATAATAATAATATAATATATCGTCTTTACTTCCATACATGAAATAAACATCAATATCATCTTATAAATACTATAAGTGGAAATAAAGGGCAAAGTTCATTTCCTGTAAATCAAGGATTTACAGGTAATGCTCTTCCACTTCCTTAAAAATAGAGAATATGTGAATATGTGAATAGTATATTATGTAACAAGTGTTATAAACGCCCTTTTAGTAACGAGTAGTTTAAGCACGAGCGGAGCAGAGCGGAGCGAGTGTTTAATAAACGAGTGTCTAGAAGAGTTTATAAACGCGTTACATACTATGATTTTTCTACGAACTCCGAAAATTACATTAACATACCTGCAATTCCTGCTAAACCTACAAAATAATTCGAGAGGGATGGGAATTGAGAACATAATACATGCAACTGCATGCAACCAGCGAGACACGTATAAGTGATATTGGTTGTAGATGTGTCCAGTCCATTGCTTACTAACCTTTGTTTCACGTTTATTGTCATGCTTAGCGCAGAATAAATAAATTGTTCTCAAAGATGGATGCTTCATTTTCACACTTTTTGGAGATATGCAAGTACCAGAACATTCTCTTCGATTTCACTCTCGTTTACTTATCGCATATATTTTTAATGAAGAATTCTGATACAAACGAATATTGTTTGAATAATTCTCATACAAAATTTGAAAATAACAGTTGACAGTTATTACAATTGACAGGCCAGACATGTCTCAAATTACCGAAGCCGTGTTTAATGAACTGCGTTGCCATGGTAATGTGTTTGAGAAATCGTGTTGCCATGGTAACGTGTTTAATATTTTGAATAAATCACAGATCGACAATCCGTGATTAATCGACCATTTAGCGTGGTACATATCCGTACGCTAAATGCCATTTTAGCTATGTGAGTAGAAAAAGATCTATAGGTAGATATACCGGGTGACACAGGAGACATGTAGCAGCCTGTAGTTTTTTTATTTGAAGAGATGAAATTTTGAAATTCACAGGGGGTATATAATAAATGGTAGCGCACTTTACGAACTTAACGACAATTTTTTTCAACCACCTGTTTGACCGGAAGTGACCCCAACTTTTTTTTTTAAATGTCACCCTGTACATTTCTTCAGTCTATCTTTTGTGGCATTTATTTCTTAATTCGCTGTTGAATTCCTTTTTTTTTTCATAAAGAATAAGTTGGCTGTGACATGAATTCGATAATTTATCGACACTTGGTAGGCTTTGAAATTTAAAGATCATTAGTAAACCGATATTATTCAAAATGTTTTGATATTCTGATCAATGTCTGCAGGTTGTCAATAGCTTTTTTGAGTCAAGATGAAAACCTTCGAAAATAACCCATGATATTGAGGAATCTAAGATAGGACCATATTTTTTCGAATTCAGCTACTCGTAAAGAAACTCTCTGTCTTTTATTTTCGCCATGTACCTATCACATGATCTTCCCATTTGGAATAATAAAACTAAAATTGTTCCTCTTATACGATGATCCACAGGGCTATCAGTCTATTTTTTCATAATTATTTCACTTAGTAGGCGGTGTACTTACACAAAATGTTTTATGTGTTTGACAGTTAATCGAATGCATCAATAATTTTTTTCTGTGACGGGAAAAAAGTTTGGCATTTCATCTCTGTTGGCAGGTTATAAAATGTCACTTTTCATAAATTACTTTTTTCCCGTGGGAAAAAAGTGAGTACTTCTTTCCCGGATATATATCACATATATATACTCTGTTAATGGCTTTTGTTGTGCTATAATTCCGAAAAATGAGTCAATAATACCGTCTCCGAGAAAGAACTGCAAGTCCTTTTATCTTCCATTCGACTTCGCGGTTTCGTATATTACTAAACAACTACTGAATTCGCAATTTTTTAAAATCAAATCACAGAATTGAACTGACAGAAGTGACATCAGATATTTGATTACTTCAAAAGAATGATAAAGATGTCTATAAAACGCAGGTGTCCCTACTGTTAAAAACTTGAAATTTCACGTCGATAATTTTCAGATTTCGAAATAATGTAATATCTTCCCAATATTGATTCGTCCTTCCTTCTGTCACAGAAAAAAATAGTGTATTATACACGGGAAAAATATTAGATTTTAGCTCACGGTTTTTTGTCTCCCTCCGCTACGCGTCGGGAGACAACACAACCTGGAGCTAAAATCTACTACTTTTTTCCCTTGTATAATAAATAACTATTTTTCTTCATTTGTGTGTTGATTAAAATTATTGCATATTAACAACATATCGACTTTTTCGTTTCTTGAATACATTTAGGTTGGTTTACTAGATCTGGTAACATATCTTAGGTTAGGTTACTAGATCTAGTAACATATCTTAGGTTAGGTTACTAGATCTGGTAACATATCTTAGGTTGGGTTACCAGATCTGGTAACATATCTGAGGTTGGGTTACTAGATCTAGTAACATATCTCAGGTTAGGTTACTAGATCTGGTAACATATCTCAGGTTAGGTTACCAGATCTGGTAACATATCTTAGGTTGGGTTACCAGATCTGGTAACATATCTGAGGTTGGGTTACTAGATCTGGTAACATATTTTAGGTTGGGTTACCAGATCTGGTAACATATCTTAGGTTGGGTTACCAGATCTGGTAACATATCTGAGGTTGGGTTACTAGATCTGGTAACATATCTTAGGTTGGGTTACTAGATCTAGTAACATATCTTAGGTTAGGTTACTAGATCTGGTAACATATCTTAGGTTGGGTTACCAGATCTGGTAACATATCTTAGGTTGGGTTACCAGATCTAGTAACATATCTGAGGTTAGGTTACTAGATCTAGTAACATATCTTAGGTTGGGTTACCAGATCTGGTAACATATCTTAGGTTGGGTTACCAGATCTAGTAACATATCTGAGGTTAGGTTACTAGATCTAGTAACATATCTCAGGTTAGGTTACCAGATCTGGTAACATATCTTAGGTTGGGTTACCAGATCTGGTAACATATCTGAGGTTGGGTTACTAGATCTGGTAACATATCTCAGGTTAGGTTACTAGATCTGGTAACATATCTTAGGTTGGGTTACCAGATCTGGTAACATATCTGAGGTTGGGTTACTAGATCTGGTAACATATCTTAGGTTGGGTTACTAGATCTGGTAACATATCTTAGGTTGGGTTACTAGATCTGGTAACATATCTTTGGTTAGGTTACTAGATCTGGTAACATATCGACTTTTTCGTTTCTTGAATACATTTTCCGTCTCTATTGATGGGGGCCTGTACAATAACTTACTAACAGTCTTCTATTGCATCTCTCAGGAGCTTTGGTTAGGAAAATAGCAAGTCTTTCCACTCGTTTCTCAGTGAATTCTTTGGTCAGTGTGTATTTCTTGCATACTTCTCAAAGAAGGGGCATATGGATCAAGTGTTTGTGAAATAACAATAACGATTACGCGTTGCTCCTGCCCTCTTCTACTACTACTACCCAAACCAAAAGCAATTGGTTCCTATGCCCCACCCTGTATTAATAATTTACTTGATTAATATGTTCAAGACTGCATAACTCCTTGTTGAACTTGAGGGGGGAGTGAAAAGTGCTATAAATACCTATCTAAAATACATCTGATGCCTAACTGTACCTATCACATAAGATTCCCTTGTGGTTTCTTGAATCATGACCAACTTGGAATGGTCATCATCTGAACAAATGTTCAATTAATTTTACAGAGGTTGGTTTTCTCCTGACCAAGGTCAAGGTAAGGTGAGATTTGATGCCTAACTCAAAACCTACATTAAATTGACTAGTCACTTTCAGTTGAAGGTGTTGAAAGCACTGTCCTAAAATTTCCAGAGGATGTAAGAAACTTGTCTTCACCATGATAGATTGTTCGTTTTTGCTCCATCAGGAATTGATTCTAGCTGGTCTTTGAGAAGTTTAAATGAGAGCAGTCTTAGGAAAATGCCGTTCGATTTGGGGTATAATTGTAATTTCTCTTAGTGATTCATGAGATACCCTATAGTTTTCAACTTGATGAAATTACCTTCTTCCAGGGTTGGCATGAATTAATTCATATGAATTAAATCAGTGATTTAATTCGTGAATTAATTCCATTGACTTTTTTCGAAAAAGTCATGAATTCATTCAAATTTTTAAAAATGAGACAAATTGCACTATTACCTTTGATTTTGACTAGTTTAAACTGAAAAATTCGATCGTATTTTGGCAAGACTTTGTTATTTCAAGCATGACAGAGATTTTTACTAACAGATATATACAGTATCAAGTATCATCCATAAAGTCCATAACATATGAGAACAGTTTTATTATCACAGCATCGAATTTTTTTCTCTCGGCGATCTATTATGCATATCCGATAACTTGAAATTCGATTTTGACACATGTCACGTGATCACTGGTATGGTGATAAATAGAATTAATACTATAAAGCGACGAAAAGTGGGGTTAGATAACGAAATATCCATAAACATTTTTTATTAAGTTGCTATTCTACATTCAGTTTCGAGCAATTTTTGGAGGAGAATTGGAAATAGCTATATTTTTTCGAATATTCTTCAATTTTGTTACAATTCTCTTTTTTTTTCTGACAGTAGTGATGTTGATGTTGTACAAGTTGAATAGAATTCAATTTCATGTTCACATATGGAGTTTCCAGCCATTATTTGAGAAAACTGAAAATAGCTATTTAAATTTTTTTTTTAAATAACATCATCTTCCCATCTAACCCCACTTTTTGCCATCGTAATTTTTTGAATTTACCGCCATACCAGTGATCAAGTGACATGTGTCAAAATCGACTTTTAAGTAGTCAGACATGTATAATAAACTTTTTCTCCATGTGTTACGAACTTTATGGATGATACTGGATCTATATGTATCTATAATTTTGTATTCTATCATCACTTTTAATTTTGTTTTGAAAAAATGACATGTCTTTTTTGTTTCTTTTTTTCTATTTTGCTTTGGGTAAATGGAATTTGTTTTGTTTTTTTCAAATGAATTAATCCAAAAAAGTCTGACTTGATTCAAAAAGTCGGACTTTGACTTTTTTTATAAAAGTCATGACTAATTCCAACCCTGTTTTCTCACTTGTTGCGTGAATAACGATCAAAGTTGATATTTTAATGATGAATGTTTAGGAGATGCAGTCCCTAGAAATAATGAAGAAGATTCCGGTGACGATGACGAAGAGCAAGTTGAAAATGGCGAAGAAAATGGTGACGAAAACGGGAAGAAAGAGAACGGCGTGGAGGCCGAAACAGGGGAACAAGAGAAAACCGAAGAAAATGCCGAAGAAGTTTCAAAAGAAGGTGCATCTTCGACAAGCAAGACACCCAAAGATGAAGCATCTGGTAAATTACAATCCTTCCTGTACACAATTTGTTCTATGTCACATTTTTATAAGAAGATCCACTAAAAAAAAAGGAAAATAAGGAAAAACAGTATTGTATAGTTCCAGAATTATCACTGCTATTCAATTCAAGATCATAATAAATTCTTAGAGATCTATTGAAGATATCAATCATATTTTACCTCAAAAATTAATCATCGACTGTTACAATGTATGAAAATTTCACTAAAATTACCACTGCAATTGATTTCCCCTTAATACTGACATTCAATAATATAAATTTTACTAATAATTGGACTAGAATTCATCTTTCAATTAACGCAAGATAAACCATTCAATTGTCAGAATTTCTAAAATTAATTAATAATTTGGAAGTGATGATTGCTCCAGTTCCACTAAAAATATGGAAAATAAGGATATCTTTCAATTCGCGCGCTCCTAGAGATAAAAAACAGTATTTTATAGTTTCAGAATTATCACTGCTGTTCAATTCAATATCATAATAAATTCTTGAAGATCTATTGAAGATATCAATCATATTTTACCTCAAAAATTAATCATCGTTCTTTGACTGCTACAGTGCGTGAAAATTTCACTAAAATTACCACTGCAATACCATAAAATTTCACTAATAATTGAGTTTCTCCATTTAATAATGATAATAATAATAACATTAATTGAAATATATTTTTTCGGGTCACACTTAAATTTTTGTGACGAACCTTATAGATTTTATTTTGTTGGGTAGACTATTATAAATATTTATTCCACAAAAATATAATGATTTTTTCCCGAATTGGGTTTTTATTTTGACAGCTTTCAAATGTTTACTTTGTCTGGTGTGATGCTCGTGGGTATCAGAATCGATATTGAAAGTAAGATTCTATTGCCTTTTCTTATTTTTAGTGAAATGAATGAAAATGCATACTTTCATTTTGAAGAGAAAATTAATATCTAGCAGATCCCTTGGTTTGTATAGTCTAGATGTTGATTTTAAGGCTTTATTTTGATGGGATTTCAGAGGTTTCAAAACAGATTCTGCTGCAGTACCCCAGATAGATCAGATTTATGAACATCTCAGTTAAGTATTTTTGTTTTGATAAGGGAAGCCTTCAAGATTCACATACTTGCTTGATCTGTATTTCATTCGTTATTCGCGGGATGGATAACTTGTTTTTGAATAATCACGGCAAGCAATTGTTTTTTGTCTAACAACGATATTGTTTACCTCTATTTGATTATCAAGTCAAACACAGTGTTGTATAGTATGGAGAGGAATAAATAATCGCTATTATTATTGTTTATATGCTCACTTACCTAACGTCTTCTTATACGACGCTATACATAGTGAAGTATACTACGGCCTTGCCAAAAATGCTATCTCGGAAACTAAGCGAGATAGAGGTATAGTTACTTTGGAGAAAATGGTCCCCATCGAATTTTGAGCAACTTTGGTTTTTGTGTTTGGTCTGTCTGTCTGTCTGTACTCTGTGTTAAAACAAAACAATATTATGTTATTAAAATATGAAGGAAATCGGAAAACTCTAAGGTGGTTTTTCCGTTTTTTTTTTAGATTTTTCACCGAAAGTGCAAAAGTGGTCCGATCGATTTCATTTTTTGTGAAGTATAACTCTATCAGGAAGAGACGAAGCCTATTGAAATTGAGCAGGGTCGGGAAATTCCAAGTGGGTTTTTCAAGGAGATTTTCCGAAAAACACGGTTCACTTTGAAACGACATATCTCCTGAACCAATAGACTAAATCCAAATTTGAAAAATGCACCGTATGCCTCTTTGATGACGCAACAAATTATTATTCCACCATTTTTTCGTGCATCCATCGGAAAATGGAAAAACAAATGAAAATCAAAACATCAAAATTTGAAATCCTTTCAATTCAATATATATATCGAAAACAAATGGAAAAATCGAAAATTATCAAGAGTGCAAAGTTATCCACTGGAACATTTCCTACAAATTATTTCCCATAATTTTTTCTGTAAACCCAATAGTACAGGAAATAAAGTGAAAAATATGAAAAAAAAATTTAACGACCTATAGGGTACTATGAAGATATATTGAAAAACAGAGATTATCGATAGATGAAGCTCATCGACTTCCACTGAACCATGAAATATTTTTTCATTTTGTTGATTGGAAGATGGAACAAAAGTGTTGAAAATTTTATAATTCCAAATATCTCAAAAACATCTGAAAATATCTGAAAATGTTATAGAACCAAAATTATTCCTTTTGATAGAATCTACAAAAAATCCTCATAACATTTTTCTCTGAATTCAATAGTTCGGGAGATACGATGAAAAAACTAAAAAATTTACAAGTTCCTAGATAATCACTTTCTTATAGAAAAGGAAACAAAAAACAAAAGAAAGTAAAAAAAGCACACTCGACTGTCTTGATTTTTTCCCATAAACTACTTACCTAGCTCCCTCGACTGTCTTTATTTTTCGCCAATAAACTAGGTACCTAGCTCACTCGACTGTTTTAATTTTTTGCCCATAAACTACGTACCTAGCTCACTCGACTGTCTTGATTTCCTACAAAGAAGAAATATGTTGGCAAAGTTTTAACTTTCTTTTGTTTTTGTTTTTTCAGTCCCTATTGGCAGTCGAGTGGGCTAGGTACGTAGTTTGTGTGGAAAAACCAAGACAGTCGAGTGGGCTAAGTACGTAGTTTGTGGGAAAAATCTCCAGTTCTCTGAACTTTCATAGCGTCGTATACACATCTTTGGTGCCCAATGATAGTTTCAATATAAAAATATGCTCCTCTACTTCCATCTTACATGAGCAATGATAAAATATCATCTGCTTTTATAGCGTCGTATAAATTATCTGACCCCTATACTAATCTAATACCTAATGAAAACTACATCTATACTAATCTGATACCTTTCAAAAACTACGTACCTCACTTGTTATACGACGCTATACATAGTGGAGTATACTACGGCCGTGCCAAAAATGCTATCTCGGAAACTAAGCGAGATAGAGGTATAGTTGCTTTGGAGAAAATGATCCCCATCGAATTTTTAGCAACTTTGGTTTTTGTGTGTGGTCTGTCTGTCTGTCTGTCTGTACTCTGTGTTAATCATAAATCGATATATCTCCGGAACCCTTTGACATATCGACTTGAAATTTTGCCATCTTATTGTACTCAAAACAATATTATGTCATTAAAATATGAAGGAAATCGGAAAACTCTAAGGTGGTTTTTCCGGGTTTTTTCGATTTTTCACCGGAAGTTCCTTGTAATCACTCTACAAATCGCAAAAGTGGTCCGATCGATTTCATTTTTTGTGAAAAAAAACTCTATCAGGAAGAGACGAAGCCTATTGAAATTGAGCAGGGTCGGAAAATTCCAAGTGGGTTTTTCAAGGAGATTTTCCGAAAAACACGGTTCGCTTTAAAACGACATATCTCGTGAACAAATAGACTAAATCCAAATTTGAGAAATGCACCGTATGCCTCTTTGATGACGCAACAAATTATCATTCAATCATTTTTTCGTGCATCCATCGGAAACTGGAAAAACAAATGAAAACCCAAACATCAAAATTTGAAATCCTTTTAATTCAATATATATCGAAAACAAATGGAAAAATCGAAAATTATCAGGAGTGCAATTTTATCCACTGGAACATTCCCTACAAATCATTTTCCATAATTTTTTCTGTAAACCCAATAGTACAGGAAATAAAGTGAAAAATATGAAAAAAAAAATTTTAACGACCCATAGGGTACTATGAAGATATATTGAAAAACATAGATTATCGATAGATGAAGCTCATCTACCTCCACTGAGGCATGGAATATTTTTTCATTTTGTTGATTGGAAGATGGAACAAAAGTGTTGAAAATTTTATTCTCAGATAATTCCAAATATCTCGAAAACAACTGAAAATATCTGAAAATGTTATAGAACCAAAATTATTCCTTTTGATAAAATCCACAAAAAATCCTCATAACATTTTTTTCTGAATTTAATAGTTCGGGAGATACGATGAAAAAACTAAAAAATTTACAAGTTCCTAGATAATCACTTGCCAATAGAAAACGAAACAAGAAACAAAGAAAGTAAAAAAAAGGACACTCGACTGTCTTGATTTTTTTTCCCATTAACTACGTACCGAGCTCACTCGACTGTCTTTTTTTTTCGCCAATAAACTAGGTACGGGCTAAGTACGTAGTTTGTACGAAAAATTCCAGTTCTCTGAACTTTCATAGCGTCGTATACACATCATTGGTGCCCAATGATAGTTTCAATATAGAAATATGCTCATGATATGGTGCCATGGCCTCTACTGCCATCTTACATGAGCAATGATAAAATATCATCTGCTTTTATAGCGTCGTATAAATTATCTGACCTCTATACTTGAATCCAATAACTAATGAAAACTACATCTTTCAAAAACTACGTACCTCACTTGTTTCTATACCTGGCACTGGCGCGGCATTTGCCATTAGAGCACCTGGTCCATTCCCAAATATGTCACTGTGTGGTTGTATTTATATTGAAACTGCAATTCGAACATCCTTGAAAATTGAATAAACCTGCTGTTAATGCAGGTAGAATATTCTCACCACACGGATTATTTGTTGCATTGCATACATATGGCACAGCATTGGTGGTTACTTCACATAATATTCATCTGAGTTCATTGTTTCGGTTGCAGAAAAAATAGCATGTTTCATTGGGATCAAAAGTGACTTTTGATCCTAATGAAACAATCTATTATTAATAGTCATACACATGCCATGTTTCTTCATTTGATTATGTCATTTGATTCTCTAATTGATTTGGCGCCCAACAGGTCAAACTGATACAAGTGTGTTGTTGAAAAAAATCATGTCATTGCTGTTTCAGGTTCTGACAAGCCAGAGGAAAAGCCAGACACAGAAGAAGAACCCACCGACCTCCAAGTAGCCTGGGAAGTCCTCGAACTAGCCAAAAAAATCTTCCAGAAGCTCGGAGACGACGGCAAAAAAAACCTAGCCGAAACCCTAACAGTCCTCGGGGAAATATCTCTGGAAAGCGAAAACTTCGAATCAGCAGTCAACGACATCAAAGAAGGCCTCGAAATTCAGAAGCAGCTTTTCGGTCCGGATAGTCGCACCATAGCCGAAACTTTCTACAAGCTAGGAGTTGCATACGCCACCAACTCCGAGATAGAAGAAGCCGTCCAGAGTTTCCAGGGCTCTCTGGATCACCTGAGAAACAGGATAGCGCACCTGGAGAAGCTGGAAGATAAGAAGGATGAAGCGGAGGACGAGCTTAAGGATATTCAGAGCTTGATTCCGGATATTGAGGAGAAGATCGCGGATATGAAGAGCTACAAGGCAGAGGTATGTCAGTGTGATATTAGAACGACTATTAAAAACTTCGTGAGCAAACCGAGTTTCGATAGCGCTCGCTCGACTAACGTGAATGTATTGGAGGTCAAAAGAAAACCCACCATTGAGGCGGCTTTGGAAAAAGTTACTATTTGATGTTTGTACCTTTGTGATATTGTTTATTGAGACTGAAGGTTTATGCTTTTTTGCTTTATTTATAATTTTGTAATTGTGAATCGGTACTATTATTTTTTTAATAAAATTTTGCATTCTTCTTAGGTACTTGGTTATTTTTTGAATCCCAGCCAGATAGGCAATGTCCATAGTTTTTTTTTTTGGCATAAGCTATCGAAGACGATCCACCCAAATTTTTTCCGTTGTGTTGCTATTGATGAAAACCCGCTCGGATAGGTCCATTTCAATATGGCGGGAGATACATTTTTCAGGCAATTATATTCCAAAGTTGAAACCTTGAAGTGTAACGGGCATCAACTTTCGATTTTCAAATGGAACACCCTGTATCTCATTGCATTTTTATATTCTCTCTGAAGAGCTGCTTTCATCAATGTATCACACTTGAAGCAGGAATGATTACAGATATACAGGGTAACTCACGGTCGATGGTACGTTAGACGTTTATGGAGAACGGGACATAGGATCATTTTGAAATTTTGGTTACTCACGTAGTTGCTCTTGGTCTATCGATCTAAAATATTTTCAGCTCTGCGGCGTTGCCGCTTCTATCGAAAAGTAGCAACAACTTTGTTCTTTTGAATGGAACACCCTGTATTTTATTGCATTTTCAGATTCTCTCTGAAGAGCTGATTCCATTGATGTATCACACTTGGGGTGTAGCGGAAATGATAACAGAGATATAGGGTGTGAAAAATCGTCATTTTTCAACTTTAGGAATTTTTTTTGTCGAAACTATTCATTATTGGTCAAAACGGCTTACATGTCCCTATCTCAACTTTTGATTAACTATCAACTGATATTTAATTGGGACATATACCGGGTGATCAAGATTCTGAATTCTGCACGACCCTGTTTTTGTTTCAATTAAATGTCAGTAGATAGTTGATCAAAAGTTGAGATAGGGTCATGTGAGCCGTTTTGACCAATAATGAATAGTTTCGACAAAAAAAAATTCATAAAGTTGAGAAATGTCGATTTTTCACACCCTATATCTCTGTAATCATTTCCGCTAGACCCCAAGTGTGATACATCGATGAAATCAGCTCTTCAGAGAGAATCTGAAAATGCAATAAAATACAGGGTGTTCCATTTAAAATAACAAAGTTGTTGCTACTTTTCGATAGAAGCGGCAACGCCGCAGAGCTGAAAATATTTTAGATCGATAGACCAAGAGCAACTACGTGAGTAACCAAAATTTCAGAATGATCCTATGTCCTGTTCTCCATAAACGTTAAACGTCTATCGTACCATCGACCGTGAGTTACCCTGTATAGGCTGTTCAAAATCGAGATTTTTCAACTTTGGGATTTCCACCGTGTATCATCACAAGGTGGCATTTGCTTGTTGAGTTAATTGTATTTTATCAAAAAATACACGGTGGCTGTAGCCATGAAATTGAAAGAACATGATTCTGGTATGAGATTATTCATGCGTTATTAAATTAAATTATAATTATTGAAATAAACAACAAATTCAAAAATAATAATAATGAAACAAAAAGCTCATGAAAAGTACATTATGACATGATGAAATAAATTAGTGAATGAGAAATCATTCACTCAGGTTTGATTTTCTCTTTGCAAGAGGATAATGTTTCTTGACTTCAATTTTGGATTGGGTGATATTTGTGCAACTTCTGATACCGGGTGACCAGTTATATTCTGACCCATTTCAAATGCTCATATCTCTGAAACCATTCAAGTTATCGTTGTGCGGTTTGGACTAGTCTATTTTGATGTTTTTCAAGTTTTTTTTTTGACGTGTTCATCTTCTCACTTGAACTTCCGGTTCTACCGGAAACAAACAAGCAATAATCCAGGTATAGGGCAACTTTTTTATTTCATTGAATTACCCTGTATATTTTTGCACATTCAGAAAGATTGGTCTTTTCTCTATCTATACTGTATTACAAGTTATGTTCTCCTAGAAAACTATCAGAGTTATAACTCTTTGAAACAACTACTGCTTGTGAATGGTTTAATGAGATTATGCAATGTTATCAAAGTTGCCCTATACCTGAATAATGGCTTGTTTGTTTCCGGTAGAACCGGAAGTTCAGGTGAGAAGGTGGACCAGTCAAAAAACTTGAAGAATATCAAAATAGAGAAGTCCAAACCGCACAACGATAATTTGAATAGTTTCGGAGATATGAGCAGTTGAAATGGGTCAGAATATAACTGGTCACCCGGTATCATCAGGTACTTTATTGAATTTTGAGATAGCTCCGTGAGTAAACTTTTTTTGGCCAAGTGTAGAATTAGCAGCATCAAGATGAAACAAGTCATATTGTCTAGTATGATGTTGGATTCGAGAATTCCTTGCCAATATGAAGTTAGATTTGAGGTGTTTGTTGATAATATCAAAAGAAATTTTGAAAGTATTTATCAGACAGTGCTCTTCCAAAGAAAATGAATTTGTTTCTTTATAAAGTTGATACAGTACTTTTAATGCTTTTTTATATAGTACAGATATTTTGTTGAAATCATTCTTCTGACATGAACCCCACATATTTATGAGATAGTTCATTTAACTAAGGATGTGAGAGTATAGAACGGTATTTGGTATATTTTGGACATCTTAGGGCACCAACTATGGGAGAAATTTTTTCTTTGAGCATGCCAATATGCTTGTCCCATGTTAACTTTTCATCAATCCAAATATTTGGTATAGGCAGTTTGTTTCAATCTTTCATTTTTCATTCTAATATCCAAATCAATATTTTGTTCATTTCTTCAATGGAAAATTATATATTGGGTCTTATTAGAATTAAGGAAAAGAAGATTGGAGTATAGCCATTCCTCCATTTTCTTCAAATCCTCATTTATGTTGTTTTCTAAAATTACAAGGTTTTTGTTTTCAAATAAAAGTACTGTGTCATCTGCATATATGGCATAGTTTCCTATTAAATTTATTTTTGAAATGTTTTGAATGTATAAAAGATACAGAATTGGGCCCAACACTGATCCTTGGGGAACTCCTTTGTTTGTTCATATATAGTATTTCAGAGTCACAATTATTGATTTTAATACTGATAGTCCTTTTTCTAAATATTTTTTCAAGAGATTGTTTCCAATACCTCTGATGCCCATTGAATCAAGGCTTTTCAGGAGAATATTGTGGTCAACTGTGTCAAATGCTTTTTTTAGGTCCATAAAAATAGCTACTACATAACTTCTCTCCACCACTCTTCTCTTGAAAACCAAATTGATTCAAGTCAAACCCATATTTTTTCATTGATGAAGTCAACAATTCTCTTTTTTTTTTGCAAAATTATAAATATAATATTCCCATCTTACTTTTGAGAATGAAATCGATCTAACCTGAAGAAAATACTTCAGATTAAGTATCAATATGTCGAATTAACAGCCATCTTCTTGTCATTCTTATTGTATGGAGAATTTCAGGACGAATAAGAAATTATGAAAAATATATGGGGTTTAATTTAAAATGAAAAAATCACTTGAAGTCACTCCTGTCATTTGTCAAACAGGTAAACTTAAGTTGAAAAGTTGCCACAATCATCATCATTCAGTATAGAGTTTTCCTGCCACCAAATAAATATTCTGATACACGGGATTTCGAATTTACACAGGTTTTCACAGTGAGCAATGAATTCTTGTTGAATTTTTTCCACCTTGTTGCGAAAATTAGAAATTGTCTACTTCTGGTTGAAGGACACTTATTACAACAACAAAATCGAACTTTTGCCATGAGCGAGTGATAGTGATTCACCATTTCCATTTTTAGGCGCTGAAAAAAATTGTATCTGCGGTAACTGAAGGGAAAACTTCTGATGGAGCCTCAACTTCTTCGAGCGCGGTAGAATCCAAACCTGTCACGAATATTTCGCATCTTGTGAAAAGAAAACGAAAAGCAGATGACATTACTGACGAAAAAGACATATCTGAAGCTAACCCCAATAAGAAAGTCAATCAGTAAAACACTTTTTTAATGTTCGATCGAATAAATATGTACAAATTAAGATTTTAAACTTGATGTTGAGTATTTAGTTCTCAAGGAGAATTTTCTCATTTTGTTTAGACTTGTGATGTATTGGTGTGAGTTTTATACTATTAATAATTTTTCACATGTGTACTCATTTTGATTAGTTCCTCCTTAGTTTAAGGTGTCGTACAGCTCTTTCTCCAATTTTTTTCGGTACCATAAATTTGCTGATAGCTGTAGAATCCTCATTATCAGAATAACTCTCAGTACTGAAAAAAAAAAAAAAAGAATTTGCGTCACATAATACATAAACATGGTATATGGAATTGTATTTAGCAGTGAGTGAATTAAATATCTATTTTTAACCCTTAATCGTTTGCATACAGATCTTAGTAGGTACCTATCTACCCACAATTATTTCAAGTATTGTGCTCAATAAGTTTATTGTCACTATAACCAAGAGCAAGGTATAATATATCATGCGATGGTGTCAAATGTACCAAAAAGTCCTGATGAGATCGAAATTTCAATCGAAAGGATTTTATACTCATTATCTATCCCTAAAGATAACAGAACAGTTCATTCACCTTGTTAATGAAACCAAATTTCAGCTAATGGACTGAAAATGCGTCATTCTCATTCTATCGTTGGAGATTTCATGAAAATCCAGACTATTTTGTGAACTTGACAACGGTGGAAAATAGCTGGACTACGAACCTAACTTAACCTAAATGTTGTTTATTTAATTAACCGTCGTTTTTCACTAACATATCTAAATGTTTTTCGACGTGTATTTCAAGAGTATAATTAAATGTGTTATAAATTGTGATACTTGAGTTCATGTAATAAGGTTCTTTCAAGACTTTTCATAATATAGATAGTGGATTGGTGAACTATTATAATAGCTCAGCAAACACAGTCACATCACAGAGAAATTGCAGCGATGTAACAATTGTGACCTGCGATATCGCATTTTATGTCGCATAGACGTCGCTCCGATATCAGAGGGTTGTTCTTTTGTCCCACTCAAGTTTCATCGATGCGACGTCGCTGCGATAAGTACTCTGCGATATAATAGCGATATATGTTATGCAACGTTATTGCGATATGTTATTTGTAATGGAAAAGTGGTGTGTTTTAAAGCAAAAAGAAGTTTCCTCAAACATGGTGTGATAATTGGTACACCACTGACTTCTGATGACTATTGATTGTGTTGTTGTGACCGATTGGTGGTCCCTTGTGTCTTCTCTGCGCTATCCTTGGTACCTATGAATCTCTATCAGAATGAGATATGTTATGATATGTATTTGTATCCAACATTATGTTGTGTTTGACGGTGAGATTTAAGCAAACCAAAAATAGTTTGATAGCAATGTAACGAATATTTGCGAATTCAGCTCCACTTTGATGAGAAACGTATATACATGTATTCTTTTTTTCACCGAACAAGAATCTAAATAACAAATTTTTGAAAAATTCTCGCATAAGAGTTTGCTTCTGTACATCGCAGCGATGCAAAATTCGTGATATCGCAGTTCTGCTTAATCGATACATCTCAGAGATGTCATGTCGCAGATGTATTTGGTTCTGTTCATCGTAGCGATAGAACATTCGTGATATTGCAGTGTTCTCATCGCGACATCTCAGATATGTCATGTCGCAGATGTGTTTGCTATATCCCAGCGATGGAAATTTCGTGATATCGCACTGTTACCTAAACACGACATCTCAGATATGTCATTTCATAGATGTGTTGACTGGGTAGTAGTCAAATCTTATTTTTATTGCTTCCTCAAAAACTAAGCGAGATACAAAAGCAACACAAGAGACAAGAAAACTATATTTCCAATTGTTGTTCGATCTAATTAAACTATGAAACTTAGAAAAACTAACAACGTACAATATAATATTCACCATCAATATCGATACTGGTACGCTACTGGAATATCATAAACGTTCCATCGCTGCGATGTTCATTAGCAAACACATCTGCTACATAATATCTCTGAGATGTCGCGATGAGGTAACACTGCAATATCATGAATGTTCTATCGCTCCGATGTCCAGAAGCAAACTCTTATGCGAGAATTTTTCGAAAATTTGTTACTTGTTCGGTGAAAAAAGAATACATGAATATACGTTTCTTATCAAAGTGAAGCTAAATTCGCAAATATTCGTTACATTGCTATCAAACTATTCGTAATTTGCTTACATCTCGCCGTCACAGACAAGATAATGTTCGTTACAAATACATATCATAACATATCTCATTCTGATAGAGACCACCAACCAGTCACAACAACACATAATCAATATTTGATATCATCAGAAGTTGGTGTACCTTTTATCACACCATGTTTGAAGAAACTTTTTTATCGTTTCACTGCGATGTCATCTGGCATCACATCGTAGTTTTATTGCAAACAACGCTTTTCCATCACAAATAACATATCGCAATAACATATGCAAAAAATATATCGCTGTTATATCGCAGACAACTTATCGCAAGGACGTCGCATAGATGAAACTTGAGTGGGGCAAAATAACATCCCTCTGACATCGCAGCGACGTCTATACGACATAGAATGCGATATCGCAGGTCAGGTTAGGTTACATTGCTGCGATATCTCTGTGAAGTAAATGTATTTGCTGGGTAGGTGATATCATGACAACCATCAAGAATAAGTACTCAATAACCTCAATAGGTAAGTATCAATTATTATCCTGAAATTGTCAGACTGAATTTCGGCACTGTGTAAGCTCATGCATGAAAAACTATTAATAATTTTAACTTCAATATGAATTTTCACAACTTGTTCATGAGAACACCTTGTATATTAATCTCACCGAGTCCTAAAGCTGTCGTGGATAGGGCTACCCATGGCAAAGCTGTGGTGTGTCGAACGTGCTTCAAAATTTTCATCATCCTCGAAAGGCTTCTGTAGTGGTTGTAGTAGAGGCCGTACAGAGTTGCCAATACCCAAGGAAATATCAGAGCCACGTTCCTCTGGAAAATGATGTACGATTGTGAAAATTTGATCGGAAATGAAATTATTACACACCAAATATTTTCGACCCATTAAGAGCTCATATTTTGAATCGTTACCATAGCAACTGGAAAAATATCCGGAAATGTTTATCATCCTTGTGGTAAGGAGCAAGAAATTATGCAATGGAAAGTTTTTGAGGTTCATTGAAAATTATATTTTCATTTAATAACTTCAGATCATCAACTTCGAAATAGCCACAATGCTCCAAGTGGAATGAAATGTTAAATAAACACAAAAAGCTCAAAGTCATTTCCGCACAATGTTCACAAAATTAACAACAATAGTAGATTTCGGGAGATCGGGAGAAAATAACTAATGTGGCTAATGTTCGTATTATTTACTAGATGGAAGATACTATAAGGGGGGGAAGTTTTTTAATTGACGCAGCATTTTTCGGAAACTGCACTTGAAATAGTGTTAGTCAAGAATAATGGTTGGAACTGCCTTATTTATATTTTGCGAGGTAACCAAAGTCTGTATTTTGATCGGTATTTTGTGTTTTATTTAGTGTATGCCAAATCTTATGCTATAGTATTGTTTTTAATAATAATTCGGTGTGAATTCTTTTTTACCAAATATCACTCTAGCTTCAATTAAAAATTAACAAACGTTTTTTTCTCGTACTCGATTATTTCGAAGTTTACAAAATTTTAGAAATATCAAATATTCGTGTTCTCGAAAAAATGTTCAGTTAATAATTGAAGCTTTCGTATTATAAGTGAAAATTGTTGGAGATACTTTACGGTGGCTAGGCCTCTGTGTAACATCCATGCTGCTAAAGCTATCAGGACGACATCTTGCATATTGAAAGAAATTGATATTCCTGTGAAAAAAAAATAGGATTCAATTCTGTTGGATAAAGAAGCAAAAAATTAGTATATTACGTATTGAGTGTTGTGAAATGCATATTATGCATGAATGGAAACATTGCGGTAATGACATGCTTACAACACGCAATTCGTACTTTTTCTACTACTCTTAAATATTCATCCGTCTGTCTCACTTCAAACGGCCTCAAAAAACCTGGTGGTTAAAAAATTATGATTTGAAAGAAAAAACAAGACATACTATTTTTTGTTGAAGTCGTACTATTTTCGAATGAATGATTATTTACGTTAGCAGAAATGCTGTTTAGGTGTGCCTGTTTTTTTGAAACCTTCCATAGAAATCATATGAAAATTCACATAATATGAGGGTTTTAAACCATGAATAAGAACAATATTATCATGTCAGTTTTCTTGTAAAAAATTCGTATTATGATTTTATGAAAATGTACCCCCTTCTCATTAATAAAAACACACGGCACCGTCTAAAATGATGTTCGTTCTGAAAAACTGATCATATTGATGGTTATTCATACCATAATAATATATTGTTTCACAGTCGATTCCAAAAGCGATCGCGATCGACCGTTTGAGCCTTGGCTTCCGTACCATTTCAATCATTACTAAAAAATTGTGTTTACCTGTTACATTTGAGCTAAAGTCTATTTTAGCCGCTGAAAATATAGACGAAAACATCCACAACGATGAGATGAGTAGTGTTGGAGATTTCGGTTCTAGAGCGTTCGGCTTCAAAATATTCTCCGGAAAATTGGGGGCCGGATCCTTGATCATTATCGTACTGGAGCTCATCTTCGCTTCTTTGATTGACTGCCACGATAATTTTCACTCGTTCATTTTGCCAATGTCATGCTGACGCTGACATTTCTGCCGAGGCAGGATTTCATGGCAAACTTTTGCCTGGTTTTTCCATAGAAACCATATTCAGTATAGGGTGTATCTGAATAACACCGAAAAAATTCAAGGGGTGATTTCTTGGGGTATTTCGAGATACAGGGTAAGTATTAATATTTCCATGAAAAATCGTTTTTTTATTCATTACTCAGTTGTCTTTTCATCAATTTCAATGAAACGTTGTGGTTTTGTTTACATTAATATGGAGCTTCTCCTGGTGCAATTAGATTCGAAATAATATCTTCAGTGGCGTTACAGTAGGTAACTTTATCGATATTTATGGTAAATGTCATTGTACAGGGTGATTCACCATAAATGTCCCCCCCTCTAGCTCACTTATTTTTTAACCGATTTGAAAATTTGACATAATAACATCTGAAATGATTTTTCAGGATTTTTTCCCCGTTGCATCAGAAAATACAGGGTGCTCGGAACAAACGATCTATAGAGTACTACTTGATTTTTTCAAATGGAACACCCTGTATTTCATTTTATATTTAGATTCTTCCTGAAGTGCTGATTTTATTGATTTCACATTTAGGGTCTAGCGGGAATGATTACAGAGATATTTAAAGATGTTC